GGCCTCGATGATGGAAGTGCGGTAGTGGGGTAGGGTGCAGTACTTGATGCCTTTCTTGATGATGACCGCGACACCGCCCCCCCCCCCCCCCCTGGAGCTGGTGCGATCAAGCCGGACAATGCTGTGGTCGGGCAGCCAGAGGCTGTCACCGGTCTTGAGGTGGGTCTCGGTGAGAAGGCCCACGTCGATGTCGTGCTTGCGGAGGAAGTCTGCAAGCTCAATGTTTTTCGCCCCTACAGAGCGAGCGTTCCAGTTGGCGATCTTTATGGCTTCACGGTCCATAATTAGCGACGAAGGAGATGATAGCTTGGAGCTGTTGTGTTCTTGTAGCGCAGGTGCGCTTGATGATGATGGCCTGGGCCAGCAGTGTGACGATCTCATCCGTTGACAGCGGAGAATCGTCGGATGCTTCGCCGGTTGTACCGGCCAATCCCGGAGCAGGGGGATCCGTCGATGGGCCGGAGGCTTGACCGGGTACTGCAGCGGCAGCCGACTGGGCAGCAGCCAACTGTTGGTTGAGCGGGAGCGGCGCCAACACTGGAATTGGCCGTGGTTGGACCGGTGATAACGGAGGAAAGTTCTGCGCGTTGTTTTCCGGGACCTTCTTGCGACCGGGCTGGTTGTTGGACGAGGCCTTCTTCCGGATCTCGGCGTATTCGGCCCGCTTCGGATAGGCCTTACTCGTGGCCTTGTGGGCGGCACCGCAGTTGGCGCATGTGGGAGCGGCTTCCTCGATGCTGTCGCAGTTGTCGATCTTGTGGTTTTTGCCGCATTTGATGCAGCGGCTGGCCATGCGGCAGTTCCTGGTGCCGTGCCCGAACAATAGGCAGTTCGAGCACTGAGTGACGCCACGGTGGGTCGGCTTATACCGCTCCCACTTCACTACGATGTGGAACAGTGTGCGTGTCGTCTGGAGATCCTTCACGGTTGTGGAGTTCTTCTGCAGATGGACCAGGTAGAGCTGGTCACGATACTTGATGGCCTTGCTGCGGGTCATCTTGTGGATTTCGACCGGCTTGAGGCCGTTCGTCTTAATCTCGTCCATTAAGGTGGTGGTGTCCATGTCGTGGAGCCCGCGCAGCACCACTTTCAGCGGCTTGGTGGCCTCGACGTCGTGGGAGAAGTACTCCAGCTTCATCCTGTTCAAGAGGGCCTGGACTGCGTTCTAGTGATTTTCGGCCGAGACCATCAGTTTGTAGCCTTCCGTGCACCGTTGAATGGTGCAGCGAAGGCCCTGCTTAATGTAGAAATCCAGCTGCTCCCATAGCCCGGGAGGGAAGCCCTTCACATAGAAGGGTGGCAACTTAACCTTTTTAGGCACCGTCTCAGGGTCCGACTGCGGCTGGGCTCCGTTCTGCAGGGCGGAGAACAGATTGTTGCTCAGCAGCTTTTTTGCTGCTGATGCGGTGGCGCTGCTGTCTTCAGGTCTGGGTCGTTTAGTTCCGGGAGGCCCCGGCTGCGGGTCCGCAACGCCTGTCGGGACGGGCAATGGGGTTTTCTTCTGCTTCTTCTGGGCTGGCTCGGTGGTCGCGCCGTCTCCTGGGAGAGTCTGTTTTCCCGGTAAACCGGCACTCGCGTTACCGCGCGATTTCTTACCCATGGCTGGGTCAGCGAGAGCGTCACTACACAACGCGGAGCTAATTCGACTTGCGAACGAACGAACGAAACTAGAGAGAATTCAAATCGACTGAACTGCTCAACAGTCTGGCAGCGAATGATGATGACTTGAGGCTAGACCGCAGCGCTCTTTTATATCTTTTCAGGTTCAAGCAGCATGATGTGCAACAAAGTGGAACTCGATTATGACGACTGCGTAGGGAACAACGTTTATTTCATGAAAACAGTGAAAAAAATATCAATTTTTATTTATACTGTGGATAATGCTTGACATAACCACTTTTTCAATAGTTTCTTGTTGAAAATCATCAGTTGATAGCATTGCGTAGACATATTTCTGATCGATTGGTGATAAAGTTATTGAAATTGATCCAGGGGCAGTTGAGTTATTCATGTTCAAAATCTTTCATAATTTTGTTTCATGTTACATTTTAGGTTTTCACAAAGTGTACCCCAGTATAGAAATTAAAGACGTAGTCCTACGTCAAAACGCGACGAAAAATCATAGACGAACAATTTGACACCAGGAAAATTGTCGCGTCCGTTTAGAAGCAGGGCACACTTCTATTTCTAGTCTTGTTCCATATAAGTAAAAGTAATAAAGTTACCATGATCAACAGATGCATTGTAATCACGCGTTTTAATGATACTCTTGACTAGAACATCGAAATTTTTACTGAACATTGGAACTAGTGTCAGTGAGGTTAGAAAGAAGGTGTTAAGTCAAGAGGCATCCGTATCTGGTGTTTCAATGTGTGATCTGCCTAAAATATATGTTGCCAGCTACAGTGATATAAAAAAATGTTTTTTGGAGATGGCTGCAAGTCTGACTATCGCTCTATGAAAAACAATTTACTGAACAAATAGCGAGCAAGGCAGGATGCATTCTGACGGATGGTGCAACTTACGAATTTCAATTGCAATAATTTGCAAAGAGACTTATGATTTGGCAAGAAATCTGCTACTGTTGACTTAATACCAAGGTTTTCATCGCAAATTGCTCTATATCGTCAAAGATCTACGTGAACGACAGTTTGCAAAACAGGAATTTACCTTTCAGATGGTTGCACAAGTTCAAGGTTATGTTTTAGCGTGAAGTCAGGCATGGAAAATCATTTGCATTCATTTCGTGCATTTACAATAATTTGCCTCTTACTTTTGTTATCAACAGAATTCCTCTAGCCATCATAAGAACCTTTCCCGGCCCCAAAAACCCCTGCATACAAATTTTCACGCCGATTGGTTTAGTAGTTTCCGAGTCTATTAGGGATTCAATAACCAAGGCCAGAAGAGTACTTGCTAGTGAGCACCCATCAGAATCAAAACAATGGATCAATGGTTTAAAATTACGTTTCCTGCCACTCGAACTTTAACGTGGAACAATATTTTGATATATTTTCTTCTAGAACCTCGAGAAAATAGGGTCTTATTTGTAATATGCTTGAAAAATCTGGAATTTATTGTTTCATTTCCGTTAATTCGCTGGTAGAAGGTCGTCCCAAAACTGCTCGACAATATGATTAATTAACGGTGAAGCTGGAATTCGTAGTGGATAAAAAGTGATGATGGAGTCCTATTCATTCCGGTTGTTGCTGATTAGTGGATCCTCCAGTTTATAACAACTGAGGGGGTTATAAGGAAAGGAGTTTAAGTGATTTTGATCGATTCTTTTCATCGATTTTCTATTTCGTTAATAATTTAGCTGCCATTAAATTCCTTGATTCCTATTCGCAAAATCTGTTTATAAAGCTTTGGCTATCAAAAGGGAAAGTCGATGAAGGGAGTCGATCAAAGTCACTTACACCCCTTTCCTTCGAACCCCCTCAATAGGAACCTAGTTTATCAATAATTTGTGCAAGAAAGTGTTTCTTAGAAGATTATCATGTTGGTGTACGCTGATTCAAAGAGTAAATGGTATGGTAACATTGAGCTTTCCATAGTTGGGCGTTGTTGAACATGTGTTACTTGCACAACATTTAATGTGAGTACCAAAGTAACCATATAATCACAAAATAACTTTTAATGTAGGCTCAGAGTGAGAAAATGTCACTGAGATATGGTTAGTTGGGTATTCAGATGACTATTACTTTAAAAAACTAATCCTGGTTGCATCTCTTTTTCGTTTGCATGTAACACTGTTTGATATTACTAACCACACCGAGCCTTCATTCCGGGTGATGAGCGTACCTGAAGAAGAAGAAGATGACTATGAATCCCTTCTCGGAACGAGTGTATTGTTGATGGACCTGGTTTACGATTCAAGATTGGTTTCTGTAATGATAAGTATCACGATCTTCATCGAAATGTAAGTATTATTGAAAATAATCATAACAATCAACTCGTAAAAGGGAAGGGACGGTCCAACAGGGCACCCGATTGAAGCGATTTGGACGGGGAGAGTGGGAATGCCAACTCCCTGTTGATAACATTTCGTGGATAAAGGGCGGGCTCTTCTCCCCATTCATTGGGGCATCTTCCTGTTTGGGGGCTTGTCTTTTTGACCAATTGGCTGATCAAGTTGCTGGAAGGAGATTCTTTATTGTTCCGTAGATGAGTATAGGCGACAATGCGTATGATCTACCCAATCCGTTTTTAGCCCTTCATACAGCGACATGTTGAGGACAATCAGAGGTTATTAAGCTTGATCAAGACAAACAGAGAAGAGAGCCCACTGCTGTCGGACTTAGCTTCCGTGCTTCAATGGGTGATAAACCACTATCATCATATCATCATCATCTATAAGGGATTCAATAACCAAAGAAAGCAATCATTGGGTATTTTCTCTTCTTGAGCTGTTCTTAATTTTTTTTATTAACATTTCATGACACAAATGGAGTACTGTTCGAAGATACATAGTTATTGGGGCCTCCCTTAGCTCAGTTGGTAAAGCCGCAGCTGCATAGCAAGACCATGCTGGAGGTGACTGGGTTTAATTCCCAGTCTAGGAATTTTTCGGGTTGGAAAATTTCTCGACTTCCCTGTGCATAGAGTATGATTGAACTTGCCACCCAATTATACCAATGCAAAAATGGTACAGGCATCGAAAGCTCTCAATGAATAACCGTGGAAGTGCATCTAGAACACTAAGTTGAAAGCACGCGATAAGCTAATATGCGATATGCAATAAGCTTTAAATGAAGTAGATGGCTATTCAATGGAATATAAGAGCTGCTCATGATCGAATGGATTAAAATATATCATTTATTCGGTATTTCTCTTCTTCAAATTCTTTGTTGTTGGTCATACTACCTCACTTCAACGCACCAGACTTTCGAAAATCAAAATACTTACAGCAGAAAACAAAATCTATTTGGGCGTATCAAAAGTTACATAATCAATATTAAGCAAACTGAATAAATGACATATAACGCCTTCATTCGCAGCTATGGAACACCTTCCACAATCCCGAGCACGTATCGCAAGCCTTGGATAAATCGTTGGAATACTTGGGTCTGGACTACGTCGACCTTTTCCTCATGCACATGCCGTTCGGGTACAAATTCATCGGCTGGGACCCGGAAAAACGAATGCCCTTCGATGAGAACGGAGTGCTTCAATTCTCCGACGTTGACTTCGTGGACACCTGGAAGGCGATGGAAAAACTGCTGGAAACGGGAAAAGTTCGAAGCTTGGGCGTTTCCAACTTTAACAGCGATCAGATTGAGCGGATTTTAGCGGAGTGTAAGGTCAAGCCTGTTACCAATCAGGTCGAGTGCAGTCCGAGGATCAACCAGAAGAAATTGGTTGAATTTTGCAAAGCCAGAGACATAACCGTCACGGCTCATAGTCCACTGGGGCGACCGCATTTGTTCGAGAAAGATCCGGAAAACAAACCGAAACCGGTGTTGGATGATCAGAAGATAATTGAAATGGGAATAAAGTATGGAAAAACACCGGTTCAAATCGTGTTAAGATATCTGGTGGAAAGTGGAGTGATTCCGGTCCCGAAGTCAACAAGTGTAGAGCATTTAAAACAAAATTTAGATATTTTTGATTTTGAATTGTCATCCGAGGATATGGAAGTACTCTACGGTTTCAATACTAATCAAAGAATGGTTGGTTTCAGTCGCCTAGTAGGACACAAGTACTACCCATTCAATACTGAATTTTAATCTGACTCACTTACTCACTGTTTGATATCGGAAGTAATAAAAAGCAAATATAGGTGCTATTCGTGTGTTTTACTAAAGAAATGAAATATATCTCACCGGGGTCGAATATCACTACAGCTGCGCTGTTATCACCCGATAATAAATTACCTGTATGTATGCCTATCAAGTTCCTATTTGAGCTAAGTGCTGATGCATTTGATTGTCAGTCTATCGTTGACCGACTACCATTGCGAACGTGTTCAGAAAAATGCCTACGCTTGCACCGAAAGTGAAACTGAACAATGGCTGCGAAATGCCTGTTCTAGGTCTAGGAACGTGGCTGGTAAGTGTCCCCATATTAAACCATCTATTCGAGAAGCTTCAAAATTAACGTTTTTCTGATCCAAGTCCCGTGAAGGCGAAGCAGTAGGCGCTGTCAAAGCAGCCATCGATGCTGGCTACCGCCATATTGACACCGCCTACTTGTATCGCAACGAGAAAGAAGTTGGTCAAGCGATTCGCGAAAAAATCGCAGAAGGCGTCATCAAGCGAGAGGATATGTTCGTCACCACTAAGGTGAGTATTGTGAAAAACAGGTGCACCAATCAGTGTAGTACATTAAGTGAATTTTAATTTGTTTAGCTGTGGAACGGATTCCACGATCCGAAGCATGTCGAAGAAACCTTTAACCGCTCACTAGCCAATCTGGACATTGGTTACATAGATTTGTATTTGATGCATACTCCTATGAGCTACGAGTTCGTTGCATGGGAACCGGAGGATCCAGATGCACCGAGCGTACCTAAGTTTACAGAAATCGATTACATTGACACTTGGCGTGCTATGGAGAAACTTCTGGAAACTGGAAAAGTCAAGAGCATCGGGGTATCGAACTTCAACAGCGAACAAGTTGCACGCATTGTGAAGGAGTGCAAAGTGAAACCGGTTACTAATCAGGTTGAGTGTAACCCAGGTCTCAATCAACGGAAGTTGACCGAGTTCTGCAAGAATCTGGGTGTCACGTTGACTGCGTACAGCCCTCTTGGACGTCCAAACTACTACGAAAAGGACCCGGAGAATACTCCGAAACCGGCGTTGGATGACCCTCGTGTTTTGGAGATCGGCAAAAAATACAACAAAACTCCAGGACAGGTCATTTTGCGTTATCTGGTTGACATCGGCACGATTCCGGTGCCAAAATCCGCTAATCCGGAACGACTCCGTCAAAACATTGACATTTTTGACTTCAAATTGACGGACGACGAGATTAAAATCATGGATGGCTTCAACACTGGCAAGCGTACTGTTCCGTTCGCTCTCTGCGCCAGCCACAAGTACTACCCATTCAGTATCGAATATTAAATAAATGTAGACCATTCAAGTGTTAGATTAAAAGGTATAGAAATCAATTTCTCGCCGAAAACATCCCTGACACGACTTTCTAAGTGACCATAGCAAACATCCGAAAAACGAGCATACCAAAATCAATCTGCTCGGTTCTTGGAACGCAACTTGCATTTGTACATAATCTACCGTGAAACTGAAGCTTCAGAGATTTTCACCTTTCACACAGCTGTTTCCACCTGCCGCCTTCAACAATCAATATGATATATGTACCTATAGTTGCTGCTTAAAAATGGGAGCGGCATAATTCAGCGTGACAGTCGTTCATGATCACAAAACCTCGTAAAGGAAGAGCAACTGCCATTGAAAAAGAACGAGACGTGGCAAATCGGTTGATAAGCGTGACGACATGCACTGGCCTTTTCGAAAAAAATATGGTTGAATGAAAAATTACAAAATGTTTCGCCATTGAAAAGAGTGGCTCATAGAATGTCCTTTTTCTCAACAGTATGAATAAAGGGAATAAAGTCTTCTGTACTTTTCTAATAGGGAAAGTAAAATAAACTATTTAGGTAATGCATACGACTCAGTAGGTTTCTACACTTTTTGTCGATTCCCTTTCATTTGAGGTCCCAAAGAAACGTGCTCAACTTTTTGGCTCAGCTCTGGCACTCTCTTCGGTCTCAAGCTAATCGATGCACCCCTCGAAACGTAGGAAAATCCATGAACCCCTCAATTTGTCTGTCAAACTTTCATTGCGAATCAAAACAAACATTGTTTACACATTTGTTTCCGTGTTCGGTTAATTTTACCGAAATCAGAACAGCTGAACGTTCGGTAAAACTTTGACCTTCATTTATTTATAAAATAATATCAAAACATGTTCAACCTTGTTTAAATGAACAAATGTTGCCATTTTACTGGAGATTTAGTTTCAAAGTAGCTGAAAAGCAATTGAATTGAATTGCGTAAGTTTTACCGAAAAGTTCAGCTGTTCAGATTTCGGTAAACATTAGTTGGCAATAATTTCTAAGTGTGAAGAACTAGAATTTCGACTAGAGTGAAGTACGTTCATCGATGTACTTGGGACCGATAGGATAGTCAAGTAGTTAGCCAATTAATCAGTTTGTCAAGCTCAGATGTCACTGCTGTTTTTTGCGGTGACATCTATCGGAAACTACACACAATATGTTTTCCGATAATTTTTCACAGAGGACACTGCAGTGCAAAACATGTCTGGTACCTCTATATATGCATTTAGATTAACATCCGAAGTTCCTCTTAGTTATTATGTTGAAGTTATCTTTGGTTCCTCCCTTTTTACACATTCTGCACACAAAATTGCTCACCCCTCAAAGAATTTCCCACCGATTTTTATGTATGGGGCAGAAAGTATCTTTTGTGCAGAATATAAAAAATAGGAGGAACTTCAAATAATAAACTAAATGCATAAATAGAGGTACCAGACATGTTTTGTACTGACAGGTACTCTATTTTTTAATCTGTGAAAGGGAAATCACAAATCGAGTGTCATCAAAATACATAGATGTTGAGAGATTGAGCTTGTGAGAGAGAATTTCTCTCTCAAATTTGAATTTTTTTGGCTCTTTGGTGACTGGTAGTAAAGCAGGTAAATCTGTATGGGGAAAAATCAGTTTTAATTAATTGTAGCTTGTTTAGCATTTATTTCCGAAAAAAAAAACTGAACGACAAAGTCCCTGACTAATTTCTTCAGGTTGTCGTTCACTTTTTTTGACCTGAATATGAACCGAAAGCGAATTATTCCGACTTCTCTCAAATTATATATGGGGATTTTTATCACTTTTCCCCGCTTTTGTCCATAGATTAGGCTTTGGCCTCTGAATCTGATTTGCCGTCAGAACCGTTGATAATCTGTGTCAGCTCCTTCCGTCGCTCGAGCGCCTTCTTCCGTCTAGCAATCCGCTTCCGTTGAAGTTCGAGGATTTTTTGCTGATTTTCCTCCTCGAGTTCGTCCAACCAGTTTCTTTCTTCCAAGTCTCGAAGTTCTCTCAACGCACGAACTCGCGTTGACTTCGCCAACGGTACACTGGCACTTTTCCGGAGCACACTTTTCCCAATTCGGCTACTCTTCGGTACTGAATCGGTGGGATTAAAGCGGGGAACCACAGCCGGAGAAGCAGCTCCCGAAGGGTCTAGGTGCGGTTCGCAAAGATCCAATGAAAAAGTCCGCCGAAAATGATATCCAGGACCTGTTCGATCGTTTCAAGGAACTTCTGGAAGATCGGAATGGAAGTAAGCCCCAGAAGGCAGTACCAGGAAAGTCCACAAGAATGAGATCATTGCTTTCTGCAAAGCCGAGACTGCCTCGTTCGTCTTTCGAGAAAGATGATGAAGCACTAGAGTCAATCCTCGACGGTGGGGACTACAAAGGCGATAAAGTGGTTGCGGAGGACAAATTACCTCCATGGTTCTACCGAGACCTATACGGAAGTCCTTTCTAGAACTTCAGAAAAGTTTTTCTCAGAACATTTGTTCCCAGACCTTGGAGGACGTTTTTCTCAAAACTTCATCGAACTTCTTCCCAGAACTCGAGAAGAAGTTCTTCCTAGAACTTTAAAGAAATTTTTCAGATAATTTGAAAGAAGTTAAACTTTAGGGATGTTCTTCCCAAAACTTCAGAAAAAACCTTCTCAGAACTCCAGGGACGTTTTATCCAGAATTTGAAAGAAGTTTTGCCCAAAATTTCAAAACAGTTCTTCTCAGAACTTCAGACATGCTCTTTCCAGAGATCTAGGGAAGTTCTTTCCAGAACTTCAATAAAATTCGTCACAAAACTTCAGGGAAGTTCTACCCTGACCTATAGAGAAGTTTGTCCTAGATCTTCAGAAAAGTTTTTCTCATAATGGCAGTGAAATCTTCCCTGACCTTGAGGGAAGCTATTCTCAAAAAATCATGGAACTTCTTCCCAGAACCTCAGGAATATTCTTCACACAGAACTACAGAAAAGTTCTTCGCAGAACCACCGACAAACCGACATGCCACAGAAGCATTTCGTTTGTCCACAATTCGATTTGTCAAACGAGCGATTCCATCTGTCAAACTGGCGATCAGAACTTTCAAACGAGGTGAGACACAAACCGAGGCAATATAAATACTACCTGTGTTCGTGTCCTGGCTCATGCGAATGGATGAGTAGATGGCGGCAGTGTTTAACGTATTTTAAATATGGTGTCTTGGGCAAGAATTTGAATATAGCTGTCATTTCGGTTCGTCGGTGGCAGAACTCCAGGGAAATTTTATCCAGAACTTCAAAGATGTTCTTCCCACAACTTGAGGGAAGTTTTTCCCAGAAATTCTGAAATGCTCTTCCCTGAGCTCCAAGGAAATTGTTTCCAGAACTTCAGTAAAGTTCGTCAAAAAGCATCAGGAAAGTTTTTACATGAGCTTCAGGGAAGTACTATCCATATATATAGAGAAGTAAAATCTTTCCAGAACTTCATGGAACTTCATGGAACTTCTTCCCAGAACTTTCGGGGATTTCTTTCCTGAACTTAAGGGATGTTCTTCCCAGTACTTTAGGGAAGTTCTTCGCAGAACCTCAGAAAAGTCTTTCCCAGAACTTGAGAATAAGTTCTTCCCAGAACTTTATATAACTTCTTCAAAGAACTTTAAGGAAGTACAGCCTAGAACTTTAGGAAAATTTTCCCATGACTTCAAGGATTTTCTTCCCAGAACTTTAGGGAAGTTCTTCCCAGAACTAAAGGGTAGCTCATCCCACAACTTGTGGAAAGTTCATCCCAGAAGTTGAGGGAACTTCTTCTCAAAACTTGAGAGAAGTTCTTCTCAAAACTTTAGGGAAGTTCTTCTCAGTGCTTCAGAAACCCAATCAGCACATAGCGGAGGCAAGATCTTGCAGCCACTTGATTGCGACTAAAATAAGTCATATGCAAGTTGCCTAATCCGTTTTGCACCAAGTGTGCTGCTAGGGACACTTATTTGCAGGAAACTTCCTCACAAAATTTCAGAAAAAATTCTTAAAATTTTTTAAGGAGGTTCTTCCCAGAACTTGAGGGAATTTCTTTCCAGAACTTGAGGGGATTTTTTTTTCCAAAAACTAAAGAGAGTTCATTCCAGAAATTTTGGGATCTTCTTCCCAATACTTCAGGGATGCACTTTTCTGAAGTTCTGGTAGGTTTATCCACGAACTCCTCAATAGCTATTACATGAACTTCAAAAAAGTTCTTCTCATAACTCGAAAGAAGTTCTTCCTATAACTTAAGGAAAGTTGAAATAATGTTAGGAAAATTCTAAAACTTCTAAAAAAGCCGTAATTTTAGAAAAATTTCCCAAACTTCATTGGAGCAACAAAGACTTAAAAAGTGATTCTAGAATTTCAACAGAGTATCCACAAATTCTGAAAACTTCAGTGGAGTTCCCAAATCACAACTCAGGCATTTACAGAACTTTTTAAAACTTGAATAAATTCGTCAAATAGTGACGCCGGTGGTGTACAAAGGGTGGGTTCAATCCCGGTCGGTGCTGTTGGGATTTTCTGAGGTATAAAATCTCTGACTGGTCCCCGGTCCATGAGTTGATTGGTCGATAGGTTGGGTCCATGTGTGGGAGCTGCCTCCCTGGCGTTGGTAGCATTGGTTCTTATTACGGCTTGTTTTCCGACGGAGAGAATTTCAAGCTCTCGGCCAGCAGCGAGGAGCCGTAAAAGGCAAAGTTACGCGAATCAATAATGTGCTACAACGGGCTGAACAGAAACTTACTGTTCCAGATGAATTTCTACTACAAACACATCTTAAAACGGTTGACTCTGCTTACGAAGAGTTTAATACCTTCCAGAATAGGATTTACGCTTTAGCCCCAGGAAATGCTGAAGAACAGGAGGCAAAGTACGTCGAGTTCAAGGATCTGCATAACGAGGTGAGAGCAGCTGTATGCAGATTGTTAGAAGCGGTCAAACGTGAAGCAAACATCGTTCCTGCACCATTACCTGTCCAGCAACAGGCAGTACGAGTTCAATCATCGCAGCTGCTTCACACCCCGCTGCCAACGTTCGATGGCAAGGCGGAGAATTGGTTCAAGTTCAAGGCCATATTCACCGATGTCATGAACAAGTACCCGGGGGAATCTGATGCTACGAAACTCTACCATCTTGACAAGTGTTTGGTTGGTGATGCTGCAGGAGTAATCGACCAGCAAACGATCAACGACAGCAATTTCGACGCAGCTTGGCTTTATCTCACGCAGCGGTACGAGGACAAACGAAAAATTGTGGACATACACGCAAATGGTTTGCTCAACCTCAAGGCGATGACAGGTGAAAGCGGAAAACATTTGCGCAACTTGGTGGATGAGTATAAACGTCATGTGGAGGCACTCAAGTTCCACGACTACGAAGTGGAAGGTGTTTCGGAAGTTTTGCTTGTCAACATTTTGGCTTCGAAGATGGATCTGGAAACACGGAAGCTTTGAGAAGGCAGTATCACGCACGGAGAAATTCCAACTTACGAAGAAACGACTACCTTTCTCGCAAAGCGGTGTCAAATTTTGGAAAGGATTGAATCCAACACGATTGCTGCAAAACAGAAGAGGCCTATCGGTACTACTACTGCGATGAAAGTTTCTCCAAGGAAGGTGTCATCTCTAGCGGAATCGGTCGATATCCGGTGCAACTTTTGTGATGAGTCTCATGTGAATCATCAGTGCAGTGAGTTCTTGAAGCTGGGTCCGAACGAGCGTTTTGAGAAAGCAAAGCAAGCGAAAGTTTGCTACAATTGTTTGAGGAAAGGGCCTAACACAGCGCGATGCTCTTCTGCTATGTCGTGCAAAGTCTGTAAAAAGCGGCATCATACTACGCTACACATGAATGTAACTACTTCGACGGGTGTTTTGAATCCGCAGACGTCTACTTCAGTGCAGAACCCACCTCAGGATACCAACGCAAGCGATTCCACATCGAATGTTAAAGCCAGCAATTCCACGACGTCCACAATCAGTGCATCTTGTGTTACTCATCATCAGCGAGCGCTACTGTGTACGGCGATTGTGTATATTGTTGGCAATATTGAAGTGGCACAACCGTGCCACGTTCTTTTGGATTGTGGTCACAGGTGAATCTACTCACAGAAAAGCTAGCGGGTTTGCTACAAGTCAAACGACAATCGGTGGATGTCAAAGTTATTGGTGTTGATGGTGCTACTACGAGGGTTACTACGATGGTCAACGTCACCATTAAAGCAAGGCAGATCGGGGATTTAATCACCCTCAGCAAGTGGGCATGCTCATAGGAATTGGACACTTCTTCGGTCTCCTGAAATCAGGTTATGTCAAGCTTGCTGAAAATTTACCGTTCTTACAAGACACTGTGTTCGGATGGGTGGTCGGAGGACTCGTTGATTCTACAGCCTGGAACTACAAGATGGTCCGTTGCAATGTGGTGGGTCAAGAACCAAACTTGGACAAGCTGATTGAGAAGTTTTGGGAATCTGAAGAAGTTTCTACAACTACGAAAATGTCGCCGGAAGAGGTGGCATGTGAGGACTACTATACGCGAACTATAACGAGGGACTCGAGCGGACAATATACTGTGGAGCTACCATTTCGAAGCAATGTGAATCAACTAGGTGACTCGAAGCATAACGCTCTGCAATGGTTTACCTACCTCGAGAAGCAATTGAGCAGGGAACTCAAGAAAGTGTATTGTGAATTTGTTGAAGAGTACATACGGCTTGGTCATTGCCGAGTTCTGAACGAAACGGAAGACACATCGGACGGTTTCTTTCTACCGCATCATGCTATACTGAAACCTTCGTCATCTACCACGAAGCTACGCACTGTATTTGATGCATCTGCGAAGTCTACTTCTGGTCTATCCCTAAACGACACGCTTATGGTGGGACCGACCATACAAGATCCTCTCGTTGATATATGCGTACGGTTTCGAATCTATCCCGTCGTTTTTACTGGAGATGTTTCGAAAATGTTCAGGATGATTGCAATGAGCCTTGAGCATACCAAGTTCTTGCGTGTTTTCTGGAGATCCAATCCTTCCGCTCCGTTGATGATTCTCGAGCTTACTACAGTAACGTATGGGACGTGGAAAATGACCAGACGATACGATTAATTTAAAATCGTTAGTTTCCACCGTTTGATACCAAGCTTGCAAATGCTCATTACAGCTTAAATGCTATTTTTCGGATTTATGAAGCTATGAGATATTTTAATGATAATTCTTATTTACAAGATGCAAGAACATAAGGTAAAGTGTGTGTATGACACATAAAACATGTCAATTTAGCTTTCAGAGGGTCACAATAGCGATTATCTGTAACGATGAGCGAGCAATCAGCGATCATAAAATCGCTAGTTGTGACCTTCTAAAAGCAAAATTGACAAATTGTATATGCCATATACAAACTTTACCACCTCTTCTTGCATCTTACAAATACAAATTATCATTATAATATCCCATTGTTTCATAATACCGAAAAATAGTATTTTAGCTGTAATGAGCAAATGCAAGCCTGGATTTGACAGTTCGTTTGGCTCAAAACCAACTGTGTCCAGATAGTGTCTAGTAGCCATGTATCTTTTAACATTTGATTCTATACCAATTACTAAGTGAGGTAAGGGTTTGACTGATACCTAAGTGCAAATTTATTGCCATTTGATTGACCACAAAAACGGACGCATTGCTAGCTACGCATCTATTACACGACAGGGGATATAACACCAAAAAGAAGACTAAACAGTCTCTATGTATGCTTATCAAAATTCTACTTGGGCCCGAATGCCGATGAATATGATTATCAGTCTCGCGTGGACCAGCTACCGAAGCTTTTCAGGAAGATGCCTCTTGCACCGAAAGTGAAACTGAACAATGGCTGTGAGATGCCTGTTCTGGGCCTCGGAACGTTATTGGTAAGTGTCCCATAGAACGATCGATTCAAGAAGCTTCAAAACAGTATTCTTTCTGATTGAAGTGCCATGGTGCCGAAGCAGTAGCCACCTTAAAGGCAGCCATCGATGTCGGTTACCGTCATATTGACACTGCCTACTTGTATTGCAGCGAGAAAGAAGTAGGTCAAGCCATTCGTGAAAAGATCGCAGAAGGCGTCATCAAGCGAGAGGATATGTTCGTCACCAGTAAGGTGAGTATTGTGATCAATCGGTGAAACAGGTCACACGAGTGAATATTATTTTGTTTAGCTGTGGAACACATTCCACGATCCGAAGCATGTAGAAGAAGCATTTAACCGCTCGCTAGCCAATCTGGACATTGGTTACATCGATTTGTATTTGATGCATAGCCCTATGAGCTACGAGTTCGTTGCTTGGGAACCGGAGGAGAGCGTAACAAAGCTTACCGAAATCGATTACATGGACACGTGGTACGCTATGGAAAAACTTTTGGAAACTGGAAAAGTCACGAGTATCGGCGTATCGAACTTCAACAGCGAGCAAGTTGCACGCATTGTTAAGAAGTGCAACGTAAAACCGGTTACTAATCAAATCGAGTGTAACCCAGGTCTCAATCAACGGAAGTTGATCGAGTTTTGCAAGAACCTGGATGTCACGGTGACTGCGTTCAGCCCCCTTGGACGTCCAAACTACTACGAAAATGATCCGGAGAATATTCCGAAACCGGCGTTGGATGACACTCGTGTTTTGGAAATCGGGAAAAAGTACAACAGAGCTCCGGCACAGGTTATTCTGCGTTATCTGGTTGACATCGGTACGATTCCGGTGCCAAAATCAGATAACCTGACACAACTGCGTCAAAATATAGGCATTTTTGACTTCAAATTGACTGATAATGAGATTGAAATCATGGACGGCATCAACACTGGGAAACGAACTCTTCCATTGGCTCACTGCGCCAGTCACAAGTACTACCCATTCAGTATCGAATATTAAATAAATGTAAACCATTCAAGTGTTTGAAAAGTATAAACATCAATTTCTCGCCGACAATATCCCGGACACGATTTTCTAAATGAGCTTATCGGATTCGCGTAGCGAACATCCGAAAAACGAGCATACCGAAATCAATCTGCTCGGTTCTTGGAACACACATCTTTCATTTGTACATAATCTACCGTGAAACTAAATTTTCACAGATTTTCACCTTCCGTCGAATGACTGTTGATTCACACAGCTGCCAGCCGCCTACAACAATTGATATACATAATGTATACAACTAGTTGTTGATTAAAAAAAATGAGAGCGGCATAATTTACCGTGACTGTCCACGATCATAAACCCTCGTCAAGGAACCATAGAAATAGCTTGATGAGCGTGACGCCATGTGCTGGTCTTTCGAATAAGGCGATCAATAGAGAGAAATGACAAAACGGCTCATCAGGATGTGGGTGAGAATAGCAGATCCTTTTTACTATTTCGTTTCGTTTGCTATTTTTGATGTGAAGTTGTGATGCAATATCTCAGTCTATTTGATGTTGGGAGCATTTCTCGGGTGTGCGAGAGAGGCCAGTAGCAGCGGTTAATTTTCAAACTAATTAGATTCGGTTTGATATTCTATGATTTGTATGGTTAGCGGTAACTTTGAGCGTTAATTGCAACATTTGGATGATTTGTAAGAAATATAACATGCACGGCCAATGGAGTAACTAAAACTTGTATCGAATTTGGCTCAAAATTGCAATATGTGGAGCTACTCAGTGAATGAGTAAAATTTCCTCGATTTTCATTGAAAAACTTCTTGAAAATGAGCAAAATTAAGAGATTATTTCCTCAGTCTATTAGTATATTCTATAGATACTATAGATTCCATAGATAAGCGGAGGAAATGTATAATGTAGTCAAACGAACTGTCAGTTAGTGTAGCCAAACGAGCATGACGTCATCATGGTGTTGTTTGAGGGAGAAGTATTGTAATATTATGATCACAAAACGCTGTCCACACTCCATATTCCGATTTATTTCACGGACAACGCAAGAAGGATTGATAAAGACCATTCCTCAATACATTGTAGCAAAGATTTGCTTTGCGCTTCATTTTGAACTTTTACGCACGAAACAAAACAAAACTGCACAACGAAGAGCTCTATGATGGCATGAACTTTTTTCACGCATGCCAGTAAGATCATTTATTTTTCATGGTTGCCAAAACAACTTTTTGTGCCTCCGCTTATCTATGGAATCTATAGTATCTATAGTATATTCCTAGTAAACTCCTTAGTTAAATTTTGTTCGATTTTCCACATATTCAAGCTGTTTCTTCCGGATAGGTGTGGAAAAAATTTACTCATTGACTGAGTAGCCCCACTTTTTGCAATTTGACTGAGTTACTGAGTTACTCTCATCGCCCGTGTAATAATCCAAGTTCCTTGAATCCCCAGTTTAAACGGTTTGAACACTAGTTATAGATACCATGGTGGTTAGGCTTTTCTCATGGTTATTGTTTATGTGGGGAATCTATAGTATCTCAAGTTACAGTAGAAGAGTAGATGTAGGCCATGGAACTTCAAATGGTTTATGCAAAGTCAGCATTTTTTTCGTCATTTTCGATTGCTCTTTCACAGATTGTACTTGTGGAACGAGTAGGGTGGAGCGCTACTTCGTTGCAATCGCCTATTTCCGTCCTGTCGAGTAGAAAACATCGAAAATATCATGATTTAACCGTGAACAAATCAATTTGTTCTGATACGTAACTTCAAAATATAATACAAAGTATTCAAACACGCAGGGTAAACCCCTTTTTAAACAAATAATTCACTTTCAGCGAATCCACTTTTCCAATGACGAAGGAAATCCAATGGCGATTCAGTGCGTTGGAATTTACGCTCATGAGAAGAATTTGGAATCAAGCAGCGGTGTTATATTTTTAACAAAATACAAACAATTTGTAGCTCATTATCAAATCCAACGATACAAATGGAAAGGAATGTGAATTTAGAAGCCATTTTCAGCAGAAACGTTACATTTTTATCAAATCCATTCGAAAAAGAGAGCGAAAGTGCGGGTTGTGCTAAGAAGGACGGAAATGAAAATAAGACCAAAAACCCTAAATCATTACTTTGTTCTGCTTTCGTTATGCTTCGTGTGATTAGGCATTAAAAATACCATAGTTAAATCGAATTATCCTTTATTATCGATTTTATAACTGCATAACTATGGAATCAAAGTTACAGGCGGACAATCGTAGGTTGTTTTCAAAGTTTATTGCACTCTCCATCCAGCTCGGCCGTTATCAGATGCATACGTCTGTTAGCACCAAATATGCCTACTTTGATAGTGGTTTGTGGTCTGTTTGTTTCGCATACAGAGAGAAATCCATGACTTGCTGCGTTCGATTTTACCGCACACTGTTGCGGCTGTCGCGGTTTTTATTTTCGCGATTGTAGTTGTGAACCCACCACGGGTGTGCTTGTCTGCGAATGATGTTTACATCGTTTGTCGTAGCAAGTAGACGAATCAATATTGAAATTCATTCTCTTTGGAAACGTTCCTTCTATTTATATTCCAAAATGTCGACGAAAACAGTGCCGAATGTTGATCTTGGTAATGGTTACACTATTCCTGCACTGGGTTATGGAACGTACTTGGTAAGTGATTCTGTTCCGTTGCATATGGTGACTGAAATAAATGACCTTGATTTGAAATAGGCGAAGAAAGGGCAAGGAGTTGACCTAGTGAAGAAGGCAATCGACGCAGGTTATCGGCACATCGATACTGCTCTAATGTACGAAAATGAAGTTGAAGTAGGTGAAGGGATCAGAGCGAAAATTGTCGATGGAGTTATCAAGCGGGATGATGTCTTCGTAACTACTAAGGTTGGATGTTACTATTTATGTTTATGTGGCATTTTATAATAATGGTGCATTTTTTCGTACAGCTGTGGAACACATTCCACCACCCGGACCACGTGGCCGAATCTTTCCAACGGTCGTTCGATATGCTCAACCTGGAGTACATCGATCTGTACCTGATGCACTCGCCAATGGGATTGGAATTTCAAGGACATGAATACTCGAATTTGCAACCGACGGATGCCGAGGGCAACTCCCTGTTCTCGGATGTGGATTACGTTGAAACTTGGAAGGCGATGGAAAAGCTGGTGAAGAGTGGAAAAGTTCGAAACATTGGGTTGTCCAATTTCAACAGCGAGCAAATCAAGCGAATCCTGGAGGTGGCGGAGATCAAACCGGTCAACAATCAGATTGAGGTCAACCCTGGATGGAATCAGAAAAAACTGATTGAATTTTGCCAGAGCCATGACATAACGGTTACAGCGTTTGGCCCGATGGGCAGACCTCATCGGACTACCTACGGTAACAAATCGGCCCTCGGTGATGCAAAGGTTCAGGAGATTGGACAGAAATACGGCAAGACTGATGGTCAAGTTATTTTGAGATACTTGGTATGAATAGTTGGGGATTGTTTCGCAAAATGTAATGTTCTTAACAATGCGTTTCAATTGTTACAGATTCAACTGGGCACTATTCCGATCCCGTACTCAACCAACGAGGAGCGAATCCAACAGAATATCGATGTGTTTGATTTTGAATTGACTGATGAGGAAATGCAGTACATGGATACGTTCCAGTCGGAGAGGACGCTTCCGTTTCCGCCTTTGAAAAAGCACAAATATTACCCATTTGATATTGAATTTTGAATGTATAGCTGAGTGTGTTTTTTTTTTGGATGCGATGTTGATGATTTTTATGACAATAAATAAATCTAATCTAATCAAACAACAACGCAGTCATTTCATAAAAGCATCCTGGAAAATATAGCTCCATCACTTTTCTGGTATGCAACATCATCAGAGATGCGCATTATATGATGCTCTAGAATCTAACAAAAGGATGAAACGTGGACACTACCGTACGTTTCACTGTTTTATTATTTACACTGGAGTCGCTTTTTACGCGGTTTTTTTTACACGGTTTTTTTTACGCGGTTTTTTTTACGCGGATTTCGGAATTTACGCGGTTTTTTTACGCGGATTCCGGAATTTACGCGGTTTTTTTTTACGCGGATTTTGGTTTTTTTTACGCGGATTTCAGAATTGACGTGGTATATCGTTATACACTAGAGTCGCTTTTTACGCGTTTTTTTTAAACGGTATTTTTTTACGCGGTTTTTTTTACGCGGATTTCGGAATATACGCGGTTTTTTTTACGCGGATTCCGGAATTTACGCGGTTTTTTTACGCGGTTTTCTTTTACGCGGGACATATCACCCGCGTAAAAAGCTACTCCAGTGTACAAATGATAGTTAGTTGGAAGCGTCTAGTCTAAAAAGGTTAAATGATGCTCCATTTTCCTCTAATGGTCGGTACATGAGGTTTTCCATCATTACACATTCAGGAGAAGGGAAAAGGTTTAAGGAACCCTAGTTCTTTCCTCAATGGCAGTGCTTCATATTCTCATGCATTTTCACGCACTCACACTCACAACGTTAAAGCAATCATTCCAGTTTAAAGCCCATAAAAACCGTTCAAATGTCAATTGACAGCCTGCTCATGCATGTTGTGTTAGTTTTGCATCCATTGATATGAAAACAACAGTAATAACTATGAATAACGCCAGAATATAAAGCAATGCATTTTTTAAACTGAAAACTCCAACGGTGATTTTTGCGAAGTTGAATTTTATTATTATTATTATTTAGCTTTATTTAGGAGGCTTTCAGCCTTAGGCTGGTTCGCCTCCAACAGTTGAATTTTGCAAGGCACAACTCATTAATTCACACATAAGATTTGAGTTTTTGAGTGTTAGCAAACACTGCTCCCTTGTATGAAAACTGAGAAAAAGCGGGTCTTTAATCAATTTACAGGAAAAGATCACGAAAAGTCACGATGACTCCCGAACTTTTCCTTTTGTGAGCTACAAAAAATCTCGCGAAGGTAGAAATCCACGAACCCCTCATTTGATCTGTCAAACTTTCATAGCGAATCAAAACAAACATAGTGTAGTACTAGAATTTCGAATGAATGATATAAATGGGAAAGAATGGGATACGTTAATCGATTTGCTTGCCTAGCCTAGTCAAGTAGTGAGCCAATTTAAAATCGTTAGTTTCCACCGGTTGGTACTACTGTACCAAGACTTTTCCTGACTATTTTCGACCCAGTTCAAAAACACCAAATGAACGGTAGTTTGCCCGTGCAGCACAAACTTGAAAGACTATTGCATCTCCTAATTCTAGCTCAACATTTCACAACATTCCATCGGATTTGCAGAGCAACTCTTGTTCAATTCACCTCCAATCAGAATCATCGGGTCAGCCTGCCAACTGCCTAATAACAGTTCTGACGAAAAGGATGCTGTTAAAAAAGCACTTTGGAATGCATTTCACCCGATCACTTGCACTTGCTTTTCACGTAAGTTCTTTTATCAAGGTGCACATTGTGCCGAAACACATCGTGGTACACTGATCGGCAGGTCATGGCACATGACAAGTATGACACAAAATATAATATAAAATGGCATCACTGTTTTGTGTTGACATTTTGTCAATCGTTGATAAGGTTTACTTCTTCGTTTACTTCAAAATAAGGGATGTTTTTGTCAGTGCCATTGAAAAACGACGTAGTCATCAAACCACTGCAACCAGTATCGAGTCAGACGAATTTTGTACCTAACCAAGACTCCTGACTCTGGGAAGCTACTGCAGGTCTATTTCTGCTACTACTACCGCCGGTGGGCATTTTAGGTCGAGACATTCCTATTTTTCAGATTGTAGCATTGCCCGAGTAGCATGATGAAATTGCAGACAAGATTCATCATCCACTTGCCGGTCGGTACTTGGCTTCGGAAAACGTCTACCAGAATGAAGCACGGTAGAGAACTGTCTTCTCCTGGATGGACAGCTTCTGCCATCAGTCACTTTTCTCCTTCTCGTGGAGGGGCTAATCTTCGAGTGCCACTTTTTTTGAAGCGGATGATCGGCAACCAGCTCGTTGAATATTATCTTGGGATTAAGTTTCACGACTTTTTCCGCCCTTGACTTGAAAATGTAAACACACAATCTCAAAAGTCATAAGTGCAGGGTTGCCAAACTCATCGGTTACTGAGACTGATAGCTTGATTGCCACACTTCGGCACATTTGGCACAACGCTGATAAAGTACACGGCACAGATTGGGATGTGCAGAGTTGAACACCTTTTGATAATTATGTTATCGAGTGGCACATTGTTTCGAGCTAAACGTGATGAAAAAGTCAATTTCAGAAAAAAAAAATAAATTTGAAAATAGACACCCGGAAATATTTTGCGTCCGTACAGAAGCAGAGCACACCTCGGTTGTTCTGGCTTTGCCGTATAAATTTCCTTATAACAACTCCAAATGGTTTGTGCACTGTCAGTTTCCAAACAAATGAGTTCAAATTTTGGGAGGATGATCTTGGATCCAGATTGAATCCATCAAAGCCTCTTGAACAGATCTGGGGAAAAAACTATTCACATTCATGGTGCCTTTGAACTTCAGTCAATCTATTTGCCCAAAGAACCTCTGACGACCTGAAGTTCAATGGACAGAGCATTATTAACCACTCTTATTCATTAGAAATAACAGTGGCAAGTTATTTCATCTAAGCAATTGTCATATACATATTGTTATGAAAAGCCAGAGTAGCAAAATTACTAAATAAAAACCACTACTATCGTTGCGTTATTACTTACTCTATTACTAATATAAATGCAGGACTCCACTTATCTCTACTGATAATTGAATGAACGTTGTAAACTAAGACTGGCGAATGAATTTAGTTGTAAACTGGGACAGGTGCAAAAATATTCACAGTCACCTTCAGATTGCTGCGATGGATTTCAAATTATTTCCAATTGATAAACAAAAGCAATGAATGCGTGACTCTCTCTTAACGAATGAAGTTGTTGTATTTGATTTTTACGTTTTTCGAAAGCAATTGCGGAAAATGCGGAATTATGTGAAGTTTTGTAGCCACACTGAAAGTGCACTGGTAAAATGGAACATAATAACGTGAACTATTTTGCAGTGATTTGTAAAAAGATTTTCATTCAAATTTCAATACTTTGCATCCGTTTCCGTGTTTCAGCAATACCAACATTGGTTTGATTTTGACAGATCAAATTTGTTCGAAAACCATTACGTCTCCGCCAGACCCGTCAATGATTGACATGTCATGTTGAATGCTATTATATAGGTTGCCTAATGCAATCAATCACTTTGGAAATGTCGTCTTGTTGCAGGTTACCCCGGTTTATGATAGCTTTCGGGAAAATGTTGGTGATTCTGTAACTTAGAAAATTAAAAATCGGGGAAATGAATGTAATGTCGGCCTAAATGCCCCTAATTTGGGTCCATACATAAATGCAGCAATCGACTAAATTTTCAATAGTGGCCGAATATATCCATAAGTACCGTCCCAATGACGCGTTCTTCTAGATAAAATTGATAAATAGTAGATTTTTAGCGATGGGCCCAATCTTAGATCCAAAGGCCAACATTAGAGCCATTTCCCCTATAAATGAAAATTTGAAAATATTCGAATATATTTTATATTAATTTGAAAAATCATCTAAATTTTTTAACTTGGATACTTTGGTCCAATCTTTTTTTTTTTCCTTTGGTTTGTTTTTTCCGTCGATCTTGTTTTCCGTGCTGAGCACCAATGCTACCGACGTGCCAGGAAGGCAGCTCCCACACCTGGGCCCTACCTATCCACCCATCAACTCATGAACCGGGGACCAACAGCTTTACTTCCCATCCGAAGGAAGGCGTGATCAGAGATGTTATGCCTCAGAACATCCCGGCAGCGCCGACTGGGATTGAACCCAGGCCTGCTGGGGTGAGAGGTAATCACGCTTACCACTACACCACCGGCGCCGTTCGGTCCAATCTTGTAGTTCAATGAAATTTAGAAAATCTTGATAATTTATTAAGTCAGCCTCCATTTTCAGAGCAATGAAAACGTAGTAAATTTCACACATCTATAAAAATTAGCGAGTAGATTGTTTTGTTGCATTGCAACCTTTTATTTATGCCTAGAAATTTTCCACTGACTGCAAACAACGGTTTACCACCACGCGCCATGCACGACCTTGCACATACTTACTAAAAATTACACTTAATAGTCGTCTCCATCATGCGCGCATAATCTGGCTAAATTGCGATAGAGCACCCGTTCCAATGATACATTCCACCTCCCAATCGTGGAACTGTGCAGCGGTAAATTATTCTTCTTTCTCAAAGGGATGATGAGGATGACCAAAAGCTCCGAATTCCGGACAGATACGTTCGTTGCGCTCGAGCGCTGCAAGTTGTTTCATATCGTCGCCGTTCAGCTCGAAACTGAAAACGTCAAAGTTAGAAGCGATTCTGGACTTGGTGACCGATTTTGGAATCACCACGTGGCCAAGCTGGATCTGATAGCGAATCAGAATCTGAGCCGGTTCCTTACCATGCTTCTCTGCGATCGCCTTAAGATTCGGATCATTCAAAAGAACAATGTCGTCCTGCTTGACCCACGGTCTTGCTGGCGACCCCAGTGGACTGTAAGCGGTCACGATTATTCCTTTTTCGGTGCAGAAGGCAGTCAGCTTGGATTGATGCAAGTATGCGTGGCATTCGATTTGATTGCAGACAGGTTTGATGCTGGCTACGTCCAATACACGTTGAATTTGCTTTGAATTGAAATTCGATAGACCAATGTTCTTGACAAGGCCCGCATCGACCAACTTCTCCATGGCCTTCCAGGTGTCCACGTAGTCAGCATCGGAAAAGATGAACGTTTTGCCATCAGGACCCATTGGGAAGAGCTCGTCACCTTCCTTGTAGGCCACAGGCCAGTGGATCAAATAAAGATCCAAGTAGTCGAGCTTGAGGTTCTTCAAAGTGACCTTCAAAGCGCCTTCCACCAAATCGGGACGATGGAACGTGTTCCATAGTTTGCTGGTTACGAAGACGTCCTCCCTGAAATTTCCAATCGATTAGACACCATCCACGCAAACATTGAACCGTCGTATGTACCTCTTGATCGTCCCATCTTGTATTTTTGCTTCAAGCCCGTCACCCACCTCATGCTCATTTTGGTACACGTGGGCGCAATCGATGTGCCGGTAGCCGATATCAATTGCATCTTTCACTGCTTGCGCGACCACACCTGGAGGAGACTGCAGAACCGAATTGTATAACCTCATTCAGACATTTGAGCTGATCGCAATACTCACGTTCCACGTTCCTAGTCCGATCATAGGAATGCTCTTTCCATTGCTGAAGATAGCGTTGGGAATCTTGGTTGCCATGACTGTCAGCTGAGTTCGTCCAAAGAGGTTCGGAAATTTTTCCAATCTTTTACCAAAAAAATCAAAATGAGTGAGCACCACAACAAATGGTAGTAGGCAGGCACCTTTGGTTTTGGCAATGGCTCAAAATAAACTGATGCGAGCGGGATGAGGCGAGCAGAGTTTTATTTGTGTATATACTAACAAATGTTGCCTTCTAATTAGTAGCTACTTCAGTATCAGTAAGAAGGAGCGCGTACGAAAACGATCGTTTGGTGTTTGTCTACTGAAAGATAGCAGACCCGGTTTATCTCCTATACGAACATTATGTGTGAGTGAGAGTAGTCTATTATTGTTTATTTACGGTGAATGAGAGTTGAATGATAATTTGTAAGGGATTAGGGATGTGTTGTTTGTAAATATGCATGTTTTTGTGGATTTAGTCAAGTACCTAATCATACAAATCTACGTAGGGGAAATGGATCTAATGTTGTCACCGACAAACCGACATGAATGCTCATACAAATTACAAAGAAATTTCTGTAAAGCACAAAACTGACATCTGCCGCCGTGTTCGCGGACAATATTACTTTTATCTATTAGCGAATTCGTTTATTATCGAAACCGAACTTTTTGTCAGTGCGAACCTCAACCTGAGCTAGGTTTTAAAAACAAACGAGTAAACTGACGTTTGTCAGAAAACAAGCAGACCCAATCCTGATATACCCAATCCAGGTTGGAACTGAATTATAAACGAATTCGCTATATGATAAAACATTTCTATGGTTTTGACAGATGGGATCGCTGCACAATTAAATCGGCCGTTATGGATTCTCAATCAAGAGATAAGTTTAAGTTTCATGTCGGTTTATCAGTGCTATGGATCTAAATATTGGGCCCATCGATAAAAAACCCCCTGTTCTTCAATTTTTCGTTGAACAATTTGACATCTAGACAATACTAATGGAGGTTTTTGGTTGCTAGTTAAATATTGTTGAAATTTATGTATTTGCCGAACGACAAAAAAAAATCGATCATTCGTTTTTGTAGAGGTTTCAATGTTTTTTTTTCACTATGAGATAGAAAACATATTCCTTCGTGTAAAATTTTCTCAGGAATCTAAGGAAAATATTGATGCTCTTGAATATTTTTTCTATATTTTTCCTAAGTCCAAACGCACAAAAAAATGATTTATGGGACGGTAAACTTTTCCTCAAAGCTCTCTTATAATGAAAGTTTTTTCTAAGTTCTAATAGGAATTTTAGTTCGTTCATAATAGATTTATTACAGAATAATACAGCGTCAATTTATGGATAACAATTAGGATTGCACTACTCTGATCCCTGTTCTTGAAATACAGGAACAGGGATTAGATTGATTGATCGCAATAATTGAAGCTTCACGATGGAGTATATTTGGACTAAATTGACGTAGGAGGTTTACTGGAATTCACTTTTACAGAGACGTCCTTTGCAATGATTTCCCATTGGATTTTATTGGTCACATTAATATGAAAGCTTTTTCTTTAGAAGATGAACTTTAAATTTTACGAAAAGCTATAGTCTGAACGGCAGAAGGACTAAAGTCGATGACTGGAGAGAATTCCGAGAATTGATCATTAGGGTGCTGCATTTTGAAAAAAAAGTGATGAATTTCTGATGCACTGAAACAAATCGACATGTACTGTTTATTGGATCCATCTTATAACATAGCAATGTCAATAGATTTATTCATTCTATGTTATGATTGATAGATTCCATTGGATTATCACTTAAAAGCTATGACTGCGATATGGAATGATTTCTATCGTAATTTCACATATTTAGTACTTCACAATACTTTGCTTCGAGCGTGGTTAGCGATAGATAAGATGCATATGAATATTGTCTGATATATTTCATGGAAAAAAACTGGTGATATGTAATGGGTGGGAACTGACATCTAGCAACTAATGGAAAATCATATAAGTTTGCACTATGAGAAAACTCAGTAAAATATACCTGTCTTCATGATGAATATTTCTCACTAAAAGATATATCTTATAAGATAATTATGTTTACTTTATTGGAGTGGCTTTTAACGATTTTTGACGTTAGTTGATATGTCGTGCAGCGTTGCCAGTATTCCAGATTTATCTGGATTTTCCAGATTTTTAGTCGTCTTGCCAGATACACAGACAGACTACGCATATTTCCAGATTTTTTAAATATGTTCCAGATTTTTCCAGATTTTTCAAACATGTTGCTTTAAAAATATCACTGAAATTTATCAAACATCTAATCACAAACTAAAAAGCCACTCTTGTTACTTTGATTATTAAAGTTCATCAACGTTAGACATTATTGTAATTTTAAGGTAATTCTGAAAATAGTTCACAGTAAAGTGTAGAGTGAATTTCTTTTTTTTTTTTTTTTTTTTTTTTCTTTATTAAAGAGATTTTTAGCCATAGGCTAGTTTATCTCTTATGAATTCCTTGTGAAATCAAACGAGAATTTCAAGCTAATTTTGAGTAGAGTTCCATCCATCTTTGTGGGCTTCGTGATAGTGTGATTTCATCCGTCGTTCAGGAGTATTGTGAGTGCCACGAAGTGAGGGCTTGATTCTTGCTCCAGCTGGTGCAGAAGAGGATTTCAAAACAATTCTAACCTTACCTACAAAGCAGTTCAAAGAGAATTATCGGATGAGTCTGAGTAGAGCGTGACGGTCATTCTTAAGAGTGTACCAAGGAAATCATGAAGAATATTTTAAGAATGTATAAGAGATTACAAGAGGTAATGCTAGGAACTCTTAGAATGTTACTGGACAAGTTTGGATATTATCAAGAATCTTTTAGGGGAAAATAGAAAAGAAGTATGATGGAATTTTAGAATGATTCCAATGGAACTAAAAAAAGGTGAACATATCCTGTGAAGAGTTACAAGTAAATTCAGATTTACCAAAAATTTAATGATCTGGGACCCAGGAAAATTACAATTATTTCAAGATCCTGAGACTTCAAAAATGAAGCTATCATTTTAATAATATAATAAAATTATTCTTTGGCATAAAATTATTCGTAATGGTCTTGCGAATAGTGGAGTTACCCGAAGTTTAGGTAAACTGTGTGTGAGTACCACAATGTTAGACTTTGATTCCCAGCCAGGCGAATTTTGCTTCAAAATAAAATTACCCACTGGTCTGCTGGGTGTGGTGTGTTGTATGATGTCAAGAATTGAATTGTAAATCTGATCAACCTCAGGGTAATATTAGAATTATTTAGAACTAATAAAATCTTTAAATTTTGGTAATGCATCAAATAGTAAGGACTACATCGATTATTAATTAAAAAAAAATCCATCCCATAAAATTTGCTTGATAATTTACCCACATTTAATTCAATTTTTACAATGCAGCGTAATGGATATTTAAACTTTTTAGGCACACTGTGTCAAAAGTGATCAGCGTTTGGATGAATTCAGCAATGTGTACATGTAATTCATAATCATTCTAGATGATCATACTGACCTATTTTTACGGGAGATTGGCACATCACTTTGATTCAATAGCATTATGTTAAAAACTGGATTTTTTGAAGCATTCCAGATTTTTCCAGATTTTATATTTCAACTGGTCCAGATTTTTCTGAAAATGACCTGGCAACGCTGATGTCGTGTGTAAACAGACATGTAGAAACTATTGGACAGTCATTTAACTTTGCAGTATAGGAAAACATGTATATCTCATTGTAATAGCTTCCTTTGATTTTTGACGTTTAAAGATTGTAAACAGATCTATCCCAATCATTATAGATAGAGCTGGAATTAGGGCGTAACAGCCTTTGTAAACAATGACTTCTCTCGTTGATTTCTCGGAATTCAAGACACGCCTAGACAAACCAACATATCCATCGGGTAGGAGAAGTCTTCCTCTACTCGATGGTGATGTCGATTTGCTAGGGAGAGCCATGACTTCCCAGAAATCATCGAGAGAAGTCATTGTTTACAAAAGCTGTTACGCCCTAATTCTAGCTCTATCTAGATATAGTCATATAGATTTGCCTTTTAAGAAATCCAACAGCAAACATTTGTTTTGGCATGGGTTTCTGGGATGAATATCGCTCCCAATAAAATACATCTTACATGATTGTTCTTTATAAATTATTGAAACCATTTCCAACGAAGTTATCGTACACCCATTAAACTGATTAGTCGAACGAAATATTGCTAACAACAATGATACTGTATTGAATAATCCTTGTTTGTTATTGTTCCATAAGATAAGGGGTGCGGGAAAAGAATGTATTGAGATTGAAAAAAAAATTCTACTTATTGCAGTTAAAATTCTAATTGTAAGCCTTCTACACACACGTAGAAATTGTCGCAGACTTCGGTAATTTTTACTGAAATCTGAATAGCTGAACTGTTCGGTAAAAGCTATTTGAAACTAAATCTTTACTAAAATGACTACTATTTTCAAATTCAATTGCCTTTAAAATAAAGGTCAAAGTTTTACCGAATGTTCAGTTGTTCTGATTTCGGTAAAATTTACCGAACACGGAAACAAAATCTTAGTGTGCACAGCTAATTCAGATTCCAGCACTAGTACTCGAACTTCATGAACCAGTTCCATGAACTCATATAATGTAGTCGTTGTTTTATTGCACACATGAGCATTAAGAAAGATTTGAATACACGACACCACCGAAACGGAGCACAACTTTGTCAGTGCTAGTTTTCTTCACTCTAGCAAAACGAGCATAACGTTGCACTACATTCCATGTCGGGAGAGCTGTTCTTACTTCATGCTAATTGAACGAGCTCAATCTTGAAGTCAGCCGTGGCCCAGTGAAATCGAGCGCAGACACCGAAAGCATCACACGGCAACAGATCTTGATCAAATCCCAAATCAGCTACAATAAAAAATACACAACTGTGAAAGCTCCCACTGCCTTTTAAGTGAGGAAGTCGACGTTGGTGGCGCTTAAGTCAAATAGGAATCTTTACAAACGTTTTTAGAGAAATTTTGGAGCCTCAACGTCTGTTCTCTGTGACTATCTTATATCGAGCTCTTTTTCAATAATTGCAACATGTGAATAATTCAGAACAAGTTTAAAATTATTCTAGAGCTAAATTGGTTTTGAAGGAAGGTCAAACTACAAACGAACAGGCCAGCCGCTCTGAACCCTATGAAAATTATGCTTTCCCAGTATGGTACATTCTCTCACTATAAACCTGTAATTTCTAGCCTATCTGAACTATTTAATAAATGGAAACCATAACATGGGTTACGCTCCTCCTAAGCGGGCCCTCCGCATTCTATCTCTGCCTTATCTAAAATGCCAATGGTTTGAATGTATCAATATCTACATTGGAAATGACGTTCAATCAAATAAACCCATACCCCACTCACTTGGCCAGGCTTCAGAATCGTCCAGTGGGCAGTGCGCTCTACACTCCAAGTTCCCTTTCTTTCAAATTTACCCAAAATTTTATATTTACCCCTTTGAGTGTTGATTAATCACAATGAAACATTGTGACAGAGCACGGACTTGAGGTTACTAGAGTATTATCTAGGTCCTATTTAGGATTAAATCTGAAAAATCCAAATTTGGCCAACACCCACCGTTTCCCCAAATGCATTGTGTCTAAAAAATCATCTTGTGAAGGTATTATACAAAAATATGCATACAGGTAAAAACTTGCAACAACTGTCATTACATTTGTTGAATGATACATATTCAGAGGCTGTAATAAATCCAACCTTACATTGAATGTAAGAGACATTTGTTTTACGTATAGACTATGCCTAAACAGAAACTTAAAAAATTGAAATTGTCTACTCTTGAAAATCTTTCAAATGCCAATGATCTTTAAAAAAAAGCGACAGCTTGGTAGCCATAAGAATAGAAAATAAAAAGACAGAATAAATTGAGTTGTTAGTGGAATACTAATAACCAACAAATCTAAAAATATTGCGCGTATCTCTTCTTCGTTTCTTCAACAGACGGTAGATCGACCCTTTACGGTAAAGAAACGAGCTTGTCGGTTATATTACGTATACATACATGTTGATTCAAACCCAACCACCCTATGATTGTCTATGTGCTTTCGATGCTATCTCACCATACCATAAATACCATACCATCGCAGTTGTCATGGAACCAACCAAAACCAACATAAACACAGCTTCGTCGCCCGTCATCACAGTTGGCATTGCATCCGCTGTTAACCGGCCGGTGAGCATAGAAACGAGTATAATTCTATCGCAGCTTCAGTTCATGTAAGTTTTTATTTGATGTGATAGAACTATTGATCGCATAAGATCCATTACATTCTAAGGTTTAGGTACAGCTTATCACTCACTTGCTTTCAGTGAGATTAGGTGATACTTGATACGCTACTACATACAAGCAAAATCTACTATACCAATAATCGTGACAGGTTTACTAACAGCAATGGTGATTGAATTATAAATAGTAGCTTCTATCGTTCCGTAGGTTCCAGTGTCGTCCACGTCGCGCTAGTATTCGGATCGAATCGCCACCCCGTCTTTCCCGTTCAATTTTACATCTAGTTTCATTGTAAAGCCATGGCATCGAAGGTACCAAGAGTGACGCTCAGCAATGGCAAGTCGATTCCCATCCTCGGCCTGGGAACCTGGGGCGTAAGTATTCCTCCTACTCATCGTAGCCAAATGGATTGATAGCAGACGTGCAAATGCAAATGAATGTTCAACAGTTTGACAAGTGTGTAATATGAATTGTGAAATGCCCCACAAACAATTTTAGCTGCAGCTTAGCTTTTACAGGCAAAAATTAGCTGCATAAAGCAAGTTTTGGCTGCATAAGCTAATCTGCAGCTAAAATTGTTTGTTGGGTGTTGCATTATTGTAGGGATAGGTAGAGCAAACAGGTCACTCCCGTTGATATTACAAAGCATATGTCCAATGACGATGCATAAATAGGCAGCGATGTTGAATTATTAATAATGGGTGCAATTCAAACATTGCTGATGGTAATCAGACAGTCATGATCGTCAGTGATGGGACCAGTGCCAATGTGGGATGTATACTTTGTCGGCAAGTGAGCAACACCGCTTGACTTGTATTAGTATGTATTTGCGCTTGCCGGCCGCTTGTAAGTTGTTATCTGGTGGTGCAATTTATTTATAACGCAGGAGTGGGATGCATCTCCCTATTCAATATCGGGTAGTGGATATAATATTTATAAAATAATTGATCTCTGTGTGTAGCTCTTTGTTTGAATTGTTCCGTTCTGCAAGGCCATTCTAAGTTTTGATTAGTAAGAAACATTACTGCCGCTTGGTTGTTGCGATAGGTGATAGACTGATAGAAGTAAAACGCACTGATTGCTTTGCCGTCCTGCCATGGCGGAGGCATACGAGGCACTGTTTTATTGAAACGTACATATCAAGCGTAGCTATTCAAATCGACGCATCTGATTTTGCAAACAATCACTTCAATCGACGATTTGTGGCAACTGCTAGCTCACTCACAGAAACTAACAGCACCAGCTAGTAGGGGAAGATTACCCTGCCTGTCGATTGAAGTGATTGTTTACAAAAGCAAATACGTGTATTTGAATAGTTACGCTTGATATATTGTTTTCTAGAATTGTATGTACAGTGTAGTGGTACAATCAACGATGCACAAACATCTGCCTTCGAAGTTCTTGATTTTTAGTGATTTGATATTATATAAGTTATAGAGGCAATCTTGTTTACCTATCTTAATAATAAATTGATTATATGACAATAATTAGATACCTAAAGAAATTATAAAAATTAATGAACTAGCACACATTTGCACATTAAACACATTAAAGCTCTATTGTTGTATTCTGAAAGAAGAGATCAAATCATGTCAAGTGGGTACGTTTTATTGATACGCAATGGTACACTGAGGAAATAATTCGTTCGAATTTCATACGAAATGCTTATGGATTGAAGATTTGATTTTGAATTTCATCATACGATAGCATTATGAACGCACGCCTTTGTTATCGTTTATGTATTTGACTATACACTGAAGTCTTTTTTTACACGGTTTTTTTTTACGCGGTTTTTTTTTACACGGTTTTTTTACACGGTTTTCCACGATTTACACGGTACGTTTTTAACGATTTCTCGACAACGATACAACCTATCGACTTGATTCCAATCACATTATCCGTTTCAAGCTATTTGTAATCGAATGGCATACTTAAAAAAAATCACAATTTTTGGTGTAAATACAGAAATTTTTAAAATATGTCTATATGGACCATATCATGCTTTAATTACAAATGGCATCAAAATTCGATTTTTTAAAATCATTTAAGCATGCGAAAAATCAAAATCTCGTTGGTTTTTTTTTACACGGTTTTTTTTTACACGGACCGTATCCCCCGTGTAAAAAAAGGCCTGAGTGTATAGTGATATGAGTTTCATAAAGGTGTCGTATGAAAATTGTACGTTATGATTATGATAACCACATTTCATTCGTATGGATTTTAAACCAGTGCAGGAATACGGATTGTAATCGTATCAACTATGAAATCCATTGTGAATATTTATGCCCAGATTTTTGTTTATGATTCATGTGAAATGAAATTAATTTAGTGAAACAAACAATTCAATAATTGTATTTGCAATGTTTGTTTGATTTACCTGCAGCTAAAATAAATCAATTGAAAAATCTGTTGTACATTTATCAAACTAACAAATGTAAATATGTGTATAGTCTAATCTAGTCTAGTCTAGTCTACACATACACAGCCAGTACTTGAAAGAATCCTGGAAAATGATACATCTATCATTTTTCTTGTCATTATTAATGCCTGCTGCACATCAAGGATGTGAAACAAACAATAAATCGGCCAGGCCTACTGTGTAGCGTTTAGTTAATTTTTGTGGAAGTGAATGTTTACCATGTCTACTTAATAAGTATAGACAGTGGTTAACATTTAATCCACAGGTAATCAAAGAGCGGGGACATACCGTACCAACCGCTCCGTATGCAGGATTTGAAAATAGGCTATATAAATCGTTGGGAGTGACAGAGCTAAGAAAGTTAATGTACACTCCTTGGTTGTCCGATCTCCTGGGATGGAACACAGGTATTTACCCCTTGTGTTCGAGCGTACAGTCCTCCCTCCGTACAATCGTGGACGGCACCGCCAACCCACTGCGATCCCTCAATCGATCCAGCCGACCTCAGTCGAAGGACAACAGAGAGCGGTGTGCGGACGTAACCTATACGGAGGGAATGCTGTATTCGCCTAGGTTATAGCGCCCTTGCTCGCTACCATTTTCTTCTAGCGGTTGGGACCTGAGCACTAACTCTTGTCCTAGCCCTATATGGCATATGGTTATAGCGCCATTACTCGCTTTCTGAAAAGAGAAGAAGGGAAGGGAAGGAGAGGAAAAGGACTTGGGAAAAGGAAATGCGGAATTCCTTTCCTCATTAGTATTTGTATCGTCAACTTTTATGAAAATTATATAAATCATTTTTCCTTGGTCAGAGGTATTATTACGACATTTTAATAAGATTGTCTTATCATTTGTTATTCAAAATTTAATGTTATAATGATCAACATAGCTTTGGATTATCCAATATATTTCATAATTAAAAAAAAAACATTTTTTTTAGCTGAAATGAGTATTTGCAACCTTGTCATACAGATCTGAAAATTAAATCAGTAGCTTGCTTCTCTGCATCAGACATGCTTAGACGGCTTAGACTGACTCCACAAATCAATGGTTGCTACTCCGTGATTGGCCAGAATCAGTGAAATTGCACAGTGAATGGGGTTAGGAGTGACCGAAAATTCTCATTGTAGGAGAAATGGCTCTAATGTTGCTATGGGTTTAAGATTAGGCCCATAGCTAAAAATCTGCTTTTTATCAGTTTTATCTGAATTGCTGAATTTATGTATGGGCCCAAATTAGGGTCATTTTTGCCGACATTGCATCCATTTCCCCAAAAGTTTCAGTGACTCCTTATATTAAAGATCAATGATGACGCCGGCCACGTCTTTGCAACCAGGTGGGAGATGGGAAAGAAAGTTAAAGTGACCTTTGTTGTTATGGGGGGCGTGTTTACCTTTGCGTCCTCACAAAGGTCACAGGAGGGAGGTTTTGTTAGTAAGGTGGGGTTCTTTGGACCAGGATTCACCTTGATAAGTGATGTGATGATTGCTTTGATACAATCGCAGTTTGATAAATACACGAATGCGGAGCTATGAGAAAACGAACCAATATTATCAACTCTTTATTGTAAAGCTGTCTGGGATTGAACCCATGATTTTCTGCTCAGTAAGCAGAGTAAAATCACTATGAACGACGATCGTTTTTGAATAAACGGATATTGAAATAACGGTTGATTATTTGAAATATACGTATGGTTCAACCAACACTATCAGCGGCGCCGGTGGTGTACTGGTAAGCGTGATTACCTCTCACCCCAGAAGGCCTAGGTTCAATCCCAGTCGGCGCCGCCGGGATGTTCTGAGGCATAACATCTCTGATCACGCCTTCCTTCGGAAGGGAAGTAAAGCCGTTGGTCCCCGGTTCATGAGTTGATGGATCGATAGGTAGGATCCAGGCGTGGTAGCTGCCTCCCTGGCGTCGGTAGCATTGGTGCTCAGCACGGAAAACAAGATCGACGCAATCAAGGAAAAAAAACCTACACTATCACGAAGACGACGGTGATGACGACAACAGTGATTTTGGATCTCACTTTTTGTCTATGATATAACACCTTTGCCTGTACTGCCGCTTGGAAAGCGAGAAAATAATACTCTTTGCCATTTCGAAGAACCAATATTCCAACACCATTCGAACTTTTACTGGACGATACCCATTTTGCTTCGCGATCGCGAAACACGAAACTAAAAATTCTGTAAATTTGCAAACATTAAAACATTTAGAGATAGGTCTTTGCTCGTCGATTACCTTGCCCGTACTCGAAGGAAAGCCAATGTAAGTAATGTTTATAAATACATAGGCGAGACCAAAACGGCCCCACGTGGCTCCTCGCCGCACTCTCACTACCAGTTCCGGGATTCCACGTGGCAGAATTCACCCCAGGGCGCGTCCTAGACCATCCTACCCTACCTAAGTATATGGCAAAAAAAATATTAAACTGGAACGAACTCACCAATTTAGTTGACTGTCCGTAAACTGGGTTCTTCTGCCGCTCTCGAGATGGCATCCATGTTTCCGTTGGTCGGCTGCTTCCCGATGTGAAAGGGTTCTCAGGCCGAAATTGTTCGCAACGTCACAAATTGTCGGGATGGAAGAGGTCTCGGAAAAGTACCGGCCTTACCTGAGCCATAGCCGTTGGTTCCGTTACCACTTCTCGAAAACTAAACTGGGGATTGTTCTTCATTAAATGCACTTCAGAACGGGGAATCACGAGAAAACATCTTGACAGCAAAAACGAACGCGTCCGTTCGCCGGCACAGCCTACTTCCGTCTCCAACAAATGTAAATATGTGTATATAACTTTAACTTATATAGTTAAATTGGAACTTTCATAGGTTGAGAGTAGTAATTATTGTTAATGTTGATTACAGAAAATGGTAGCCCATTTAATTTATTGTAACCAATATCATTGCATCTGTTCGTTGAGTCGCATTACTCGCTATGAAATGATTGTCAAAATCACCTGCAATCCATTTTCTAGTTACTATGTATATTGATTCATTATGCTCGATAAATTCTTCAGTTTCTAACACACGATTTGGTGAGCCTTTCATTAAAAACTGACCTGATTTAAACTGCGTGTATCGCGATGGTAGACAGTGGAGAACTTTTAAGTCAATAAATTTAACATAACCTTTTTATTAAATTACTTACGTTTCTCCCTCGCCACTCCGAAATAAATGAGGAAATTAAATCGTATTTCCAACTTATATTCGCACAAGACAATACCTGGAATATGTTTTGCTTTGTTCACGTTATTATCGCTGCTTTATATACTCTGTAATTTTAGTCGAAATTAATTTACTAAATAACAATGTACATGATAATTTGGACACGGAATACCCTTTTACACTGAATTCAGCGTTTTTACCGCCGGAATCTTGAGATCCGCTAGCAATTGCTGTTCGTACGCCATATTGTTTGCTTTGAACAAACGACATACGAACGACGTATGGGTTTTTCACACAAGGTAAACTAATCAAATTCATTGAAGCCTCGTATGAATTTCAAACGCGTTTACTATGAAAATCATAATTTTGATGTGCAATTTGCATAAGCCTGCTATGGAAAATATACACTCGTAGCTTCTAGTTTTTTCAGTACCCCATTGTGCTATGACATAGTAGCCTAGATTTATTGGAACTGGTCGAATCTCTATTCTTTTCTTAGCTGGCAATATGAGAAAGCAGAGTGCCTTCCCGTTTTTGGAAACACGTGATTCATGTTTTCGGTACTTTTAACATTTTAGATTTACTAGACAATTTTCCAGGGATCGTAAATGGCTTGCAATTCATGAAAATTATTTAAGTAACAGTGATTGAAAACTGTGAAATTTTTTGAAAGATTGTGGTTAACTAATTCTAAATGCTCTCAAAATCCATTGAATGTGTAACTACAACTTTAGCTCGAAACATTAACTACTAAACATTAATCTGTGGGAAATTCCGAAAAGAAAATAAACGCTAGCAATAACCACGATTGGTTTTAAGACCGTAAATTTGTATACCAATAGATAATCATTCCTCCAAATTTGCACGATCATTTTCTCATGATTCAACCAATGACCGTTCCAATTCGTTATCAGAAAGGAAAACCCTGTACAACATACCGAAGCTGATTTCACAACCGCATGTAATCCAATTCCATGCACATTATCCCGTCAGTTTGATTCCAAAATGACAATGACAAAACTGCTATCAATTTCATGCTATGCTTCAGACATGTGTATGATAAGCCGGTTAGCCTTTCATCATGTAGTTAACTTGTCTTATCTGTTTCTCGCCCGCCAACTCCACTCAACCAGTCCCCGCCAGGTGAAGTCGCACAGGCCGTGAAGGATGCCATCGACATTGGCTACCGTCACATCGATTGTGCCCACGTGTACCAGAACGAACACGAAGTAGGCGAGGGTGTCAACGCCAAGATCGCAGAAGGCGTTGTTAAGCGGTAATTCCATCTTACTAATTTCTCACAATCAACGATTATGAATTACTGACCTACTTTGATCTTGTAGTGAAGATTTGTTCATTACGAGCAAACTATGGAACACGTTCCATCGTCCGGATCTGGTCGAAGGAGCATGCCGAACGACGCTGAAGAACCTCGGACTAGACTACCTTGATCTGTACCTGATCCACTGGACAATGGCCTACAAGGAAGATGGCGCACTGTTCCCAACCGATGCCGATGGAAAGACGGCCTACTCTGATGTAGACTTCGTTGACACGTGGAAGGCTATGGAAAAGTTGCCTGAATTGGGACTGGCCAAGAGCATCGGTATTTCCAACTTCAACTCAAAACAAGTTGAACGCGTTTTGGCCATTGCTAAGGTCAAGCCAGTTATCAACCAGGTCGAGTGCCATCCGTACTTGGCTCAAACTAAACTGTCGTCCTTCTGCACTAGCCGAGACATTGTCATCACTGCGTACAGCCCACTGGGTTCGCCAAACCGTCCATGGGCCAAGCCTGATGATCCGCAACTGATGGAGGATCCCAAGGTATGTCGTTAGTTGATCTTCTTTTCAACCCAACATTTCCTAATTCATTCATAATCAAAACAGATCGTCTCCATTGCCAAGAAGTACAACAAGACACCGGCGCAGATTTTGATTCGCTACCAAATTCAGCGCGGCCACGTGGTTATTCCCAAGTCCGTAAACAAGTCCCGCATTCAGTCCAACTTTGAGGTATTCGATTTCGAGCTGACCGAGGACGATATCAAACTCATTACGTCGTTTGACTGCAATGGACGATTGGTGCCTATGACTAGGTAAGATTTACTTCACGCTACTGATGATCCTTGACCGAATAATCTAATGATTGGAATGAATCAATCTTCTCGCGACGGGCAGCGCTGATACCAGTCCTCTGTATCCCTTCCATGCGGAGTTTTAATTTCTAGAGCACATACAGTACCGGGCAAAAGTATGTCACCTCGCAATTTGTTTCCCTCCAAAACAATTTCAAAAGCTTTAACTTTTCCGGATTGTAATTTTCTGAAATTTTGGCAGCTGGTTTGTCAAGTATCCAAGATATATTGGTATAGTTTTGAGCTTGATTGTATGAATGTGTATGAATTTTGCGTAATTTAAGAAAAACACCTATTTTTGGTTTATATTTTTTTCATGCTAAATAGATTTTATTTAAACCAAAAGATCCCTGTTTTTAACACAATTGAGCCTTAATTTTAGCTCATTTGGTTGATCATGCTTTAAGAAATTGCAGTTTCAAAAAAGATATACAAATTAGAGGCGTTTTACTAATATTGCCTAAACTTCATACAAATTATGTCAATCATGCTCAATATTTTACCGATAAGTTTTGGATACTTGACCAACCAGCAACCAAGATTACAGGTATTTTGATGTACATCCGAAAAAGTTACAGCTCTACGAAGATTAGAGAGAAAAACATTGCGAAGTGATATACTTTTGGCCTGTATTGTTACAGTTGCTTTGTCCGTGTTGTCATGCAAAAGTTTTGAGGGAAACGTCCGCCACAGTCGTTAATGTGTAATTATTCTCTATGTGGTTTGATTTGCCTGAATTTACTTCCCGGTTGTGCTTATCTCCCTAACACTAATTAGAATGATTAGTTTGACACTTTGCAGCGGCTATTATCTTCTTGTTTCGCTAATTACACAGTTTGGTCGAAAATTTTACAACCCTCGATTGCTTATCTGTGACCAGCTATTTTTTTTTTAAATTGCCCTACTACAGCGAGTATATTAATGCTTTATTTATATTTCTAGTGCTACTGGTCACCCCTATCACCCATTCGAAAAGGAAGAGTTCTAAGTTCTTGCGAATTGTTGCTACGGTAGTCAACATTACCGCTTAATACAGGAAGTTTATTGCGCTTGAAATCAGCATTCGATATTGTTTCAGAGTTTAAACCTTGTAGAGCGCTTCTTCGAGAATCTTTGTTCACTGAATCAACACCCAGTTTGCATTGTTATTTGTCACCATAACTCACAACACTTAATAAAAAATTAATAATATTAAGTCTTTTTTAGGCGTTTTTGCATTGTTTCGTGTGTATCCCATTATTTGACTTGATATATAAAATATGTCTGCCTGATAATGCCTTACTGTACTGTTCACATTTAATAAGTCACGCCATCAGGGCTCCACTAACTCGTCTTAGGAAATCGGATACAAAATACACTTCATCTTCTTCAATTTTTCTTTATTAATTATCATCCAAGGCTTATTTTGTAGTGTAAAGCCTAGCATTAAGCACAGTTCGTATTTTTCATTTCATTCGTTTTGATCTATTCTCATTCCTAGATCACCCATCTAGGATACAGAAAATTATAACGGTAGGTTTTACCTTTCCGCCCCCACTTCCTTGTAGAAAATAAAAGATTAATATTTAATAAACTTCATCATGAGCATTTGAAAAACTATGATTAAACGTTCAAGATATATTTTCAACAGGATCTAGCTGATATGCAGGAAGATGATATAAAATAATAAACAACTTGCATAACGGAATAGTGTACCGCATAGCAAGGGAAGGGCTTCAGAGCGAGACTAGATAGAGTGTAAATTAAGTATCTTAAACACTGGTCCTAGTGAGGGTTTCGGTGATATCTAGGGTGGACACTACGGTTACGTCGACGAGGATCGTGGGCCGGGCGAACAAACAACCACATCAACAGAAGAAGCACCATCGCATGTAGCAGCCACAGCAGCCTTGGCTTCCGCAACCACATCTGGTTCTCGGATGACGATCATCTCTGGCATGCTTTGTACTTTCTGTTGTATTTCATCAAATTCCGATTGAGCGGGCTCAGCTGGGGGTTGAGTTACAACAGGTTTAATGGGAGTAGGCAGCTCGATAACCGTTGTTATGCATACTTCTTCTGTTTCGTGCTCTGTGGACTCTCCCGATTCTTCGGTAATTATAATTGAGGGAGTTGGCACTGGGATAGACACTTCCGAATCCATCAGTTCTAATTTTGGAAGTTGATCGATTTGTATCACAGGGATTTCCTGCTGGTTGCCATCTTCTACTTCTGAAAAGACTTGTTCTGTAGGTGAATCTGGCAAGTTATCGATGAAAATGGGTTCCGTTGAGTGCACATCGGATGTCATAGTTTCTATTTCCGATTCTGGAACGTCCACGATGACCCCAGCTACCTCAACCATCTGGATCTGCTCAGCTTGATCAGGTTGTGCAGTTGGCTGAACCTGCTCAACCGCCTCAGACTGTTCAGCTTGCTCTTCTTGCTCCTCCTTGATCAAATCAGCTTCGTTCTCTTCGTAGATTACATCACACACAATGGGGACGGAGGAAGACATGGGTTGGATCTGAATCTGAGGTGGTTGTTGTTGTTGCTGCTGCTGTTGTGGCGGATCTTCTACTAGTGACTGTTCATTCTGTTGATTTGGTTGCTGTTTGCCACGATTCTTCGCTCTCCTCGGTGCTTGTGGAGGCTGCTGTTGTTGTTGTTGTTGCTGGAACAGTCTCTGCTGCAGTTCCCTTTCGTGCAGCTGCATCTCTCGGAATTGTTCCGTCAGAAGCCGCAGATCACGGTCCTGAGATTCGATGACGCTCTTCAGTTCCTCGATCTGCTGCAAATCTTCCGGCCGAGGATCTCGACGTTCGTATCGCATTCGCATTTCCTCGAAACTGCACACGGGTGGGTGGAATAGATAATGACATTAGAATTCATGTAGATTATGTGGTTCTAGTAATTTGCAACGGCACATTTTGAATACGCAAAATGCATTCTAAGTTTATATACACTGGCATGAAATGATGACGGGTTAGTCACGATCGAGAGTGATCGCACGGTGACATGTGGATGCAAGTGCAAACAGAAAACCGAAATGTAGATGAGATACTCACAGATTCGTTAAACATCGACACTTTTTGTGCAGGGTTTGAATTTCCTGGGCGTTTTTGCTGTCCCGGGTTTCCAGGCTGCTGATATCGTATCGGTGATCTTCTTGAAGGTCCGTCAGTTGCCGCTGATGGCTGATCGTTAGCTCTCTTTTGTTTTTTTTTTTGTTTTTGTTGGGTGGTTCGAGAATGGGAAGTATACATGGATATATGGATATTGATGGTGAAACAGAAAAACGGAATGGTAATTTCGAAGAAAGAAAGGAATCGATAACAAATTTAGGACGATTAAAACATATAACTGTTTTACTATTCATACAATATATCAAACCGAAATAGGAAAAAAAAAAGAGTTAATTGTATTCCAAAAGGGATTCAAAATAGGTGAGTACTGTAAGGTGCAGTGGTATAAATACGGGTTTCGTTCGAATGTTGAGTAAATAGTGTTTATATTTTGTCGTTCAGGCAGGAAAAGTATAGTTTAGTTGTCATGTGATAATAGTTAACAGACTCGTGCTCATACGAGTTGGTTGAATCTTTAAAGTGTCGTTCCATAGTCTCAATTGATTTGAACGGCAGATTACATCTTATAAAATACACTCGATCCTGTTTTAACGCAATTTTTTATCGCCTCTATTTTTGATCATGTGATCTCAAATTGAAACCAAATTCAATGAACTTGATTCAAAAACCACAAATAAATAAAAAAATACGCTGGTTAATAAAAATATCAAACCAATCATGCATAAAGGCAAAATGAAATAAAAGAAAATCGCGTAAGTTAAGTGTATTCAAAACAATGATACTTGTCCTGGTTATGTGTTCATCCAACAGGATTACGTTTTGCTTAATAAATTACAATTACAAGTAAAAAACTGCAATAAGATTCTAATATTTAGGCTGTGTTCCATTTGGTGCACTTTCTCTTAAATCTAACAGAAGGAAAATTTTCAAATTAACCTTATTTCTGACAGACCAGGAATCAATTTTAACAATCAACAACAGAGGGATTTTCAAACATTATAATTGATTTTCGAAGCGTTAAATTTAACTGCAAATTCACCAAATGGAACACTGTCTTAATTTAGGCAACATTTTAAGTTAAAATTGGAAGAACAACATTTTTAGAAGTTGAGTAGATAAACCTTAAAAATCCTGAAAAATAATTCGACATCCGCGTGTTCACACTCATGGACCCCTGAATAAATCAATATGAAATGTAAAACAAGCAAGTAGAATAAAAACTGGTTTTTAGGAGCATGCTTATTGAAAACTGAAGAACTGTTCTAACACTGTCAAGCTTGAGCTTGACAAACATGGTATCTTCAGCATCAATGTTACTGAAAATGTAGCCTTTTGTAACCTTAAATACACCATTTATTAATTAAATTTTAATTAAAATAGTGACCATCTTAATCAAATATTGCAACAAGATAAATAATTTAATGTAAAGCAACTTGCCTTCTGTATATTTTTTTCTGCTGTTTCGAACCAAGTAACCCAAGTAACCCAAGTAACTAATAAGTTCGCTTATTACCCTTTCTGCGGTATGCGGTTGAATTATGAATTATATTAAATTCGGAAGCCTTTTACAGGGGCTTATTACGGATGTCACTTCACGGTGAAAACTTGTCACTTGTCGTCACGGTGAAGTGATTCCCATTTGATTTGAACGGCAATCATCTTATTATGAGTATCACTTCCTTATCACCGTGTAGTGACACCCGTAATAAGGCCCACAGTATCTTACTCGATATTCCGAAACTCGATACTTTCCCTAATTCGATCAAATTCAAAGGCTTTTCTCAGCAGTCAAGCATCACTGAGTACATGGCACTGAGGAAGTCTACAAGGTGTGGACGAAATACGGATATCCGTCAAAAGGTAAGCAATTATAACGGAATTAAAAGGAAATAACTAAACCCACTCAAAGCTCTTCATTAAGTTTTTTTTACGTAGGACTACGTCTGTGATTTCTATATGGCGGTACACTTTGTAAAAACCGAAAATGGAACCTGTAACAAAATACGTTAATAACTCAGCTGCCCCTGGACCAATTTAAATAATTTTATCACCAATGGATCAAAAATATTTCTACGCATCTAAAACCGTCATAGTTTTTCAAAATGTCACTATTGAAAATTGCACGAATGTGCAATTGTTGCTATGATAGTTAAAATTATCACCGATTGCCTGTGAAAAGCGATTTCCCTAACACAGATTTCAAAGTTAAATTCCATCTGGTCTCACCAAACAGTGTTTATTCAATCACCGCGTGGTGAGTGCGGTGTTCTCCAGTACACAACGAAAGGCTCCCACGCAACCAGCTAGCTGTCAAGGCTGCCCTCAACCGGATTCAGTTCAATCACCGTGTGTGGTGGTGTCCGGTCATCGGGATCAGCAGCAGCAGCGTTTTCGCCTCGTGGCGTTGAACATTGTTCACCAGTACACAGCGAATGGCTGCCTGCAAGCAGTGGGCTGCAGCCCACATGTGCATCCATAGAAGGAGGAAGAAGCCGCACCGCTATTGATCGGAATCAGTAGCTCTTCGTGAGTCACTGTGAGCCATCTATGCCAAGCGCCTCGCCCTCATTCCAAACAACATACAGCTCACCAGTCTCATATGTGTTTAACACTCTTATAGCTTAGCATTACTCAACCATCACGACAAAACGGTCCTTTTCAGGAACACCAGAAATTTGTAAAAGAGTGTTTTTGGACATTTGTCAAGGTCATCAATCGGATGTCAGTTCCCATATCGAGATAGAGCTGGAATTAGGGCGTAAGAGCTTATGTAAACAATTACTTCTTTCGATGATGTCTTGAAAGTCAAAGCTCGCCCACGCAAATCAACATCACCATCAGGTAGGGTAAGTCTTTTTTATTCTGTAAGTGTTGTTGAACGTTTTAATGTCTAGGCATCGAATTGAAAACATTTATTCATTTATAATATAATGAATTTTGTGAAGCACAAGTTAAGAAATGTGGTGTTCTTATTTCAGCCGCGTTTCTAGTATTATATCTATGAAAGTCACTTCCTCTTTCAATTCGATCACCCAAATATCGAGGCAGCGAACCGTTAACTACTTTAAAAATGAACACCATAGTCAATATACAATTCTTTGCTTCACCGACAACCATTGTAGGGCGTCTAGCATAAAAGTTGAGGAAGTGAATCTATTTTTTTTTTTCTTTTTTTTTTGGTTTTTTTTTTTTATCGATCTTGTTTTCCATGCTGAGCACCAATGCTACCGACGCCAGGGAGGCTGCTCCTACAGCTGGACCCTACCTATCGATCCATCAAATCATGAACCGGGGACCAACGGCTTTACTTCCCATCCGAAGGAAGGCGTGATCAGAGATGTTATGCCTCAGAACATCCCGGCGGCGCCGACTGGGATTGAACCCAGGCCTGCTGGAGTGAGAGGCAATCACGCTTACCACTACACCACCGGCGCCGCTGAGGAAGTGAATCTATTACATCTCAAAATCAAACGCATTATTTTATCCTGCAAGCGCTGTAATCTCGATATTTGTGTTGCATTGGCCAAAAATAAAATGGAAGGGCAAAAATCTAGATGAGGAGCGATGATTGATTTTTATAGCTATATTCTACTGCCAATAGTTAAATCGTTTTTCAGTCGACATAGAATTCCATACTTCTTGGCAATTTTCTTGATGACATTGTCAGTGTGAGAGTTGAACTTAAGTTTTTCATCAATAATCACGCCAAGATTTATAATCTCGCGAACGCAATCAATAGTCTCACCATCAATTACAACAGAGACGTTCTCATTTACTCGATTCCGCGAAATTACCTGTATTCAATTTTAACTGCTTGTATTCAATTTTAACTGCTTATACTTGAACCATCTACTTAGAGAATGCAAATCTTCATTCAAGTGTAAAACGGCATCATTTAAATCCTTAGCTGCAACAAATAACACAGTATCATCTGCAAAAAGATTAATGTCGCAATATCGTAAAACACGTTGCAAATCATTAATATACATAATAAATAAAAGGGGCCCTAATACACTCCTCTGGGGCACTCCAAGGTTATTCCCCACGGGACGAGAAACAGAATCATTAAAAACATTCAGAGACAGAGTTCTGTCAGACAAATAGCTTTCAAACCATTTATATGCAGTACTCGTAATTCCAAAGCGCTTGATTGATCTTAACAATAAGGGCCTAGAAATTGTTTCAAAAGCGCGTTTTAGATCCAAAAAAACAGCAACAATCGTAGCTTTACATTCCAACTTATTTTTCCATTTCGCTAATTCTAAATTAAACGCGGTTTCACAAGAATGACCCTCCCGATATCCCGATTGATCTGGTATCAATAAACTTTTACTATTTAAATACACCAACAGCTGGCCTTTAACAACAAGTTCTAAAATTTTCTCTAATGTGTGCAACATGCTGATGGGACGAAACTCTTCGGCTTTATTCGTCCCAGTAACTTTTTGAATAGGAACCACTAAGGATTCCTTCCAAATTTGTGGCACATGTCCAGTTTGCAATGATTCATTAATAAGGTCCAGCAAGATGTGGTCAATTACATGAAAGCAATCTTGAATAACTCTAGCATTAACATTATCTATCTCCAGCCGATTTTCCTAATGAAAAACAAATAACTCTAATTTCATCTAATGTAATCAACAATGTTTTTTTTTTAAATAAAGAATTCTTTTGATGTCATCAAAATTCTACAGCCTACTATTTCAGAGAGGGTCGGAGACGAGCCAGCCAACGGCTGAAAGTCTCCTCAATAAAGATATAAAAAAAAATATTTCAGAGATTTTTTGAAAAACTATTGAATAATTTGTTTTCTAATTCATCTTTTATATTTTCATTAATTACTATGTATAATTATATTTATTTGATGTAACTGCACAGATACAGAAGTGCAGAACTTTTGTTGAAGAATGGGTGCAAGTGCAAACAGAATATAGTGACATCATCAATAGCTCCGAAACTAAGTATTTCCGTGACTGGCAGTTTTCAACGTTTCTCATTATAATAACAAATCCAGTCAACTCTTTCTCACTCGGTCTCTTCTAAATTCGATATTTTGCCTGACTCGATGGTGTCTTCAATATCGAGAAATTACATTACATTAGGTAATGAAAATGTTCAAAAATGTGAAAATATAAGAGATTTAGGTGTTATTCTAGATTCTAAATTGACATTTGGTGACCATGACAACACAATAATACATAGAGCAGGCAATATGTTGGAAGGCTTTTCCTCTCCCGTCATTTGAAGCACGTTGCTTGTTGGTCAGCATTCAAATATTGAAAGAACGTCGGGATTACGCACAAATTTCTTTATTAAACAATATGATTTCGCATTGACTCAGCTGATGTATTGTCAAGATTAAAGTTGAAGGTGCATACTCCCGACAATTACACAATCGACACTTGTTTGCAGTAGATTTCCATCGGACTAATTACGGTTAATTTGGATCGTTAAATCAGATGATGACTGTTTATAATCATCATTGTGAAATGATTGACCTGAATATGCCCTCAACAGAATTAAAAATATATATATTTCAGAACCCTGCGAAGTCATAGAACATAAGTCCTAATAAGTCCTGATATGTAGTCTACGATTTGATTGATTGACGAATAATTAAATAAATTAATAAAGGGCGAATTAACTTGACTGCACCCAACAAACATTGGAAGCATAATAAGAGCTTATTCAGGCTAATAAATGGCTTGTTCAGCCTTTAATCAGCACAAATTGTTTGTTGGGCAGTTCAAAACTCATTCGCATCTCATAAACATAAACAACTCTTCTAAAAACGTGAAAAATCCACACCCTGCTGTTTCCGAGTTATTTGGAAAACAAAACAAATTGAATGAAAATAACTGTTTTTTTTCAATCTACAGTCAACTCTCCCTTATTGGATATTGAAGGGGGAACATCGACTTAGAAAGTTATCGAATTACAGAATATCAGAAAAAATCGCTATTTTTAAATTCCAGAACATAACCCAATAGTTTAATAGCCTGTTTGGCTATGATTCAATATCAAAATTAGAAATTGTAATGCTAATGGTGGTTTCGACTGGTTGATAAGAATTACTTTATGCTTAGTGTTTTAGTAGAAAAGATTTGTTTTTACGTTACAACGTTTCAATCGATTGGTTGTAGCCTTGTAAGGGTTGTAATGTCGGGACGGGAAACGATAAACATTACAACCCTTGAGAAAGGTCGCAATAAAACGGTTACTGTTAATAACTCGTGTGGATTAACATTTCTCGGTGCGTTTGTTATTACTGTTACATCACTGTATTGGATTTTTTTTAAGAAAATTGCCTCCCTTAGCTGTAGCAATTTAAAGAGAAAATTGATGAAGAGAATCGATCATCGCTTTTACGCCCTTATGCATGCTCGCTGTCGAATTAGTTTTCCATTTGATTCAACAGCAAATTCTGATTTCAATTTGATCTCCAACTTTGCTCGGGTAGTCACTATTAGCGGTCAGTCAGTTCTGCGTGTTAATCAAATGGAAGTGGCCCATAATTGTGGATGACCCATAATACTGGGGTGACTGTACCCAACTAAATAGATTTGTTGTCAAGATGACTATTTGTAGTCATAAAATAATCCTACCTACAATCATCGAAATGTTCAAGAAGACACGAGAAAATAGTTTTTATAAAGCTACGATGAATCTACCCAATGCGAGGTACCATGCGCCTCCATAATATTGAATATGTCAGTAGGGAAGCTTGGTCGATTGCATTATGCCACCACGCGGGATAAAATTTATACATTATCACATGACAACAAAAAATTAAACCTATTTGTTAGTGTCTAGCAGTGTTAATTGATGCATTGTGAGGATAACATCAGTGTAGAAATTAAAGCATTTATTCCGTGATAAAATGTCTGCGTTTGTCGTAAATTGTATAACAGTGAAAATGCTTCGGTTAAATGTACAAGAAGTCTATATCAATCGATCAATTCATAATCAATCTCGGTTGATCATTCGCAACTGGAGATACACGATTAGTCCCAGTGTCAGAACGAACGTAACCACAGCCAAAGATAGGGAATGCGATTGGCAGTAGATCACAAGAGCCGGGAAGATCGGATATGCTCCTTTGACAAATTCCACCAGCAGGTGGACTAGGTTCGCCAACGGTCCTAGCGGTGTGCCCTTTTCGCAGTCCGTGCTATAGTCACCGCATCTGGTGTTGTTGTTGTTTATGTCGCACATTGGTGAGGATGATGTTGATGATCCACCCGCATTGTTTTGTATGCTACATCATTTTATTTTTCATTTGCAAAACCGAAAAGGGCGTTGATTTGATTTGATTTTTTGTTCGTTTTCAACAAAAAGTTACAACAGAAAAAGTGTGTGTATGAGAGAGAGAGAGAGAGCATTCGTAGCAGGTGATAAAGAGTAAAAGATACATTTTACGTACAATTAGATATGACAGAAGACGTGAACGAGTAAATGGGGACGTGAAATGAAAAGAAAAAAGTAAAAAAGAAAAAGAAAACAATGCCATTATTTAAAAATGATAAGTGACTGCTCCGTACGCAGACAAAGTGGCGGTAGTAGTTAAGGCACATCGACAGAAAACAAGAACAAGAAAATGTGGTTAACCAGGGTTATGAGCGAAAGAATGGCCACCCCTCTAGAGTCAAGGTGGTTCATAAATTTTGCGTCACTTTAGATTAATGATGGCCTGCCATTTCTAGGTTAATGATAATTCCATTCCGTTGGATGTTCGGTATTGTAGGATGAACTGCCGTGAGAAACATTCTACCTAGAAAACGCTCAAATCAAATCAAGCACAACATTTTTGTCATTTTTTGTATGTTTTACGAGAAGACTAATGCGGAATGAAGGACAAGTGACCTTACTGGCATACAAAACAAATGTAGGGTGAAACGAGATAATGTCGACGGTTAACAGTTTTGGTTCAAAGAGTAGTGTTAGAAAAGCTTCTTTTGGTTCTACTTCTACCGAGAAAGATGTAACACAAGTGGATCACACGCAGATGCATCGAAACGGTAGACACTGAAACTGGTGGGATACGTACCTGATTTTATTTTCAGCGTCCTCCAGGCGGTTCCGGTGCCGGGATTCCATCAGTTGCAGTGCCTCTTCCTTCTCGCTTACCAGATTCTTCCATTGTTGTTCTAAAATAATGGCATACATTAAGTGAAAGACCAAATGTGCTATTTAGACCAAAACATCACTTACCCAAGTCCTTTTTGTGTGTAACCTTGAGCAATTCAGTGGAATCCGATAGCTCTCGTTGAAACTCTTCCTGGACCTGTTGTATTCTAAGACTGAAATGTTGCTCCATGTCATACTTTTCCTTTTCATACTGTTCTTTGAGATTTTCTATCATGATAAAACATATAAGCATACCAAAAATAAACCAGCATTAGAAAAGCATACCAATAATTTGATCCCTCTTGGAAACTTCTCGTTCCAAAATTGTCTCATGCTCTCGCTCCGCTCGTTCCACGAACATTCTAGACTGTACCATCTTGTAATCAGTGTCGGTTTGGGCTTGCTCCATTGTTTGCCTCTGCCTTGCAATGGTTGCTTTCAAAGATTCAATCTGGAGTTACATTTTATTTCAGAAAACTTTCAAAACGATTATTTTAAACCATATCCGTCACCTCTTCCTTCAACTGCCTCTCACGCATGTTGAACTTGTGCTTGAGTGCTTCAGTTTCCTCCAGAGCTTCCCGTTTGATCTTGTTTATCGCGGAAATCCGCTCTTCCATGTGCATCTGCTCGAGTTCCACCTTCAGTCGGTTCATCTCGTGCAGCAGCCGGTCCTCCCATTGCATGGCAATCTCACCGCGAGCGATCTCTATCCGATTGAGAGCCTCACGCTCTTTATCACACAGTTGACTGGGGTTGTTAAAAAGGAGGAAGAAGTCACTTATTTACACTAGAGGTGGAAACGGATCAACTTACTATTCACAGCGATTCTTGATCTGTTGAACTTTGACGATTTCGACTTCCAGCTTGTTATTTGCCATCTCCAGCTCGGTCTTGAGCTGGTCAATCTGACGAGTCATGATCGTTAGGGATTCCTTCTGGTCGTACGTTAATCCCCGCAACTGCGACACTTCGGCTTCAAACGATCGTAGGTGTTTGACCTGTGGGAAATAAATACGATCGTATGTAATACAATGTGTTTTGAATGGCATCTGATTAATCAAGTTTAAAAAAGGAACTATTATCAATATGTCAATGTAATACTGTGCGATAACCTTCTTTTTTTCCTAGGACAAAAACCCTAACCATGTTTGACTTATTGTGGTTCATTGAGTTAATCTCTAGAATCTCTATTATTGGCCCAACACGCAACGTTTTTTAGGTACCGCTCCCTTTATGCATTGGACTATTTTTCACAATTTTGGTTATAAACTGCCAACCAAGCATGTGGCATTATTCTTGTGTGAGGAAGGACTTGAAAAATGAAAAATAAAAACATTTAAAAATGCTATCTCGATGTTTTACAACCTCATTTCGGTAATCTTCCTACCATACTTAAGTGGTGTTTTCAGTGCGCGAAGCACCTCCGTGCTGCAAGCTCGCTGTTGTTATACATGCTTGTAGGACGGTACAACTTCATAGAGAGAGGGATACTTAAAAAATAAGACGCGTTAGAACAAAAGTATCCCAAGCAGCATTTCAAGTTTTATCGAAGTTTTAAAGTTTTCTACAAGTCTAGACAAGTATGGTCTACATAATCCTCACAATTTTAACTCAGGAGATCATAAGAAAGTGAAATTTGGTTAAATTGTTCTGTCCTAGAAAATCGTGTTGCACATTAAATTAGAGCAGTCGAAGATGTCCTTTAGTTGAAGACCATGAGGCTAAATGTAGTTTGTAGAGTATCGAATTATCGAGCCCAAGCCCCAGAATTCACCTTCTTAAATTTGTGTGAGAAAAGTGATCCAAGTAGAATTATTTTTTCTTGAGTTAAGGGGATTGTAGAATAAGGAGAGCTGAGTAGGCTCTGCCTGCGAACGGTTGGTTTTGTTTTCGCTGTCAAGGGTTTCGAGTTTTCGCGTTGTTTTTTCCTAGCACCAAATAAAAAATCAAATGTGAAATTTGTCGTGATTAAGTGGTCATTTAGTGAATATTGTAACAGCGAATTCGTTTATTATTGGGGTTGGAACCAGTTCCAACCCAGTGCAAAACCGAACTTTTTGTCAGTGCGAACATCAACCTGAGCTGGGTTTTAAAAACAAACAAGTAAGCTGACGTTTGTCAGAAAACAAGCAGACTCAATCTTGATACCCGATCCAGGATGGAACTGAATAATAAACGAATTCGCTATAAATAATTGTGAAAATTCTGAGGCAAAAGTGTCATTAAAATCTCTGTGTTGTTTTAGCGTCGCGTTATTAGGTTTGTGATTCGATCAATTTTTTTTTTTTTATGATTTCATGCTCCGCTGTAGCAAGAAGCGTTCTACCGTGTTTTTTCGCTTTTTGGCGCTGAGTTCTGCCTTCTGCAGACATGGGCTTCAACGAGGAGAGGGAAATTTTTACATATTAGGGATTATCCATTTAGTTCGTCACGCTCTAAGGGAGGAAGGAAATTTACAAATATGTGACAAGCAATGCATTTGGTATAGGAAAAACGTGACAAGGGGGGGAGGGGATTTATTTCCCCTAAATTTCACGTAACGTATTTATTGCATGCTCCTTTAGGTAAATGAAGAAATTTCTTTCTCTTTGATGAGATTTATGCCTGGAAGTCAGCTGCAGGACAATAAATATCCGCGAAAGACATGTTTGTAGATTCTACTCGGGATTTGTGATACGATTTCGGTTCTGGATGCTTCCTTAAATTTTAGTTGTCCAAATGTTTTTTTTTTCAAATAATTTAGCGTGTTTAAAAAAATGCAGTCAATAACTAATACGTCATACGCTTAAGTATTTAGCACGGGCAACGAGCGCAACCAATGGGTTTCTAGTGACGGAATTTGGTGAGATCTTTCTAATTATAAATCATTTACAAATGCCTATTTTTCTACGTAACTAAATATGCACCAGATTTAAAAAAAAACATCAAATTTCAAGATCTGGAAGTGTGTTTACAGTACCATTATCGATTTGATACTGGTAGTGTTATTGTATGTGAAAGTCTCCTAGGAATGGGGGTGACTTTCCAGAAATTCTGAAATGTGTTGCTAGATCGGCAATAGAGCTATCAATTCCTAACCGAACAAAAGCTACTTGCTAAATCTTCGTTATAAATAGAATTTTGCAATTTTTTAATTTTTTCATAATATCATTGCCAGACAGTAGGAGTTAGATTGACATAGGCCTACATACACACAACAACCGAAACTTCGCGGTCTGGTTTGATTCCAAATGCACCTGGAGATCCCACATTGAGTATCTGAGACGAAAATGCCAACTAAGGATCAATTTCCTTCGATCAATTACCGGAACGTGGTGGGGGGCTCATCCACAAGATCTTCTGACGTTATACCGGACAACGATTTTATCGGTTCTAGAATATGTTAGTTTTTGTTTCCAGCCGGCAGCTAAAACGCACATCATCAAGCTAGAACGGATCCAGTATCGTTGTCTTCGTATCGCGTTAGGATGCATGCACTCGACTCATACTATGAGTCTCGAAGTGCTGGCGGGCATGTTGCCACTATCCGTCCGTTTTCCAGAGTTATCTCTGAGGCTCCTCACCCGTTGCGAAGTAATGAACCCACTGGTGATCGAAAACTTTGAGAAGCTTTTGGAGCTAAATCCTCAAACATGTTTTATGACTTTGTACTACCTATATTTAACACAGGATGTCAGCCCTTCAAGAAATATTCCCAATCGTGTAGTCTTCTCCGATTTCGGCAATTCAGTGAATTTTGATTTATCTATGACGCAGGAAATCCACGGAATTCCAGAGCATCATCGTCCTATGATTGCTCCGTCATTATACGCTGCAAAGTTTGGCCACGTTGATTCTGCAAGAACGTTTTTCACAGATGGATCTCTAATAGAGGATTCCGCTGGTTTTGGTGTATTTAATGAATTTCATAGCGCTTATCGAAAACTTGAAGCTCCTTGTTCTGTGTATGTGGCTGAACTGGCAGCAATTCACTACACTTTGGAAACTATTGCTTTACTTCTTCCAGACCACTACTTTATTTTTACGGATAGTCTCAGTTCTGTCGAGGCTATCCGTTCCATTAGGCCGGTAAAGCACTTCTCGTATTTTCTCTTGAAAATACGAGAGCTGCTTAATGCTTTATCCGTGCGCTCTTTCATCATCACCTTCGCATGGGTCCCTTCGCATTGCTCAATTTTGGGCAATGAGAAGGCGGATTCACTTGCGAAGGTGGGCGCTATGGAAGGCGACATTTATGATCGACAAATCGCCTATAGTGAATTTTTCTCTATTTATCGTCAGCAGTCGCTCGATAGCTGGCAACATCATATACCAAAGTGATCATACATCTCCAAAAACTAAGGATATTTGTTCAAGATTTCAGTTTGATCAGGTATCATTCTTAAGACATTCAATGGTCCAGTAATTTAAATCGCAACTATCAGGTTGCCCAGAAATTTTTCTAAAGACATCCAGGTAATCAGAGTTCTTCAAGTAGTAGTAAAAGTTACGTTTACTTTCTGGTTTTTTATGTTTCAACATTTGGTTTGACGTTTCAATTGATTAGCCTTTGGCTCTTCATCTTTGTTCTAGTTAATTGGTTATTCTAATATGATGATTGCGTTTAGCGCTAATTTACAGGATACTCTTTATGGGATTGTTTTGGTTAGAGTTCTTCAAAAAGTCCTCAACATATTTATAAGTTTGATCAAGAATTATTTTGAAAGACTTCAACTGCCCAACAATTTAAAACACATCTCCCATATATTCTATCAAATACTAGATTTCTCAGAAATTATTCCAAAGTTAGATGAGCATAGATTTTTAATACTTCAGCTTGATCACGCACAATTCTGAAAATCATCAACTGTACAACAATTCACATGAAGGTCTTCAACTGCAAAACAATTCAAATCAGTTATTCTCTGAAATACCTAATTGCTCAGAAATAAATCCAAAGATCTCCAGGTAGCATAGCCTAGCATAGCATATGCAATTGCACAAATCGTGGGGGGGTTGTATAATGGTCAACCAATACATTTTGCAGAAAATATCGTGTGTTGCCATGAAAAAACACTTGGGATTAGTGGTTTTTTTTCACACTTCAAAGTTTGCAAAACAAGTATCGCATTATGCACCTGGCCACATTCTTACAATCGCAGAGGACAGGAAGGAAAATTAGTTCAACATCTACTTAAGAAGGTGCATGGAATTCATACTACCTTCATTAGGATGGGTCATCATGATCATTTTTTCAGAACAATGTTTTTTTGGTTCCATTTGGGGTCTCAAAGAACTGTGCAAAATTTGGGGACGATTGGTTGTAACTCGGTTTTCCGCATTGCGTTTTTCAAAGATCAATGTTTCGAATTAAATGCCAAAAATCTTTTTTTTTTCTGCCAACACTGCCGGTGTAGCAATGAAAGTCAGAATCCAAACTAAATTAACTTCGGAATCTTATCGATTTGGTTTGTTCAGATAAATTATTCACAAACAATGTTTCAATCTCATCTCGCCATCCTCACTCATATAAATGGAAGTTAAGCTTCAAATTGCAATAACTTCGGTGTTTCTGATCTTGTCAAGTTGGCATGTTCAGATGTATTCAAAAACATGTGCTATATTTAATAGGCGTAGTTAGATATAAGGGGCTTACTGTATGCTTTCCGGTTCTCACTTATATCAATGAAAGTAAAGATAAAGACTAAAATAACTTCGGAGTTTCCCATCTCTCGAGTTGTTCGAATGGGTTATTCAAAAACCTTTGCTCAATCTCATAAGAGCAGTTTGAAAGCGAGTACCCTCATTCCCTTCCCTACTCTTTTGGTGCAATATACAGTGTCAGATACATCCACACACATGTCATTGGATTGTAATGATTATATTTCATTTTAATATATTCTACGATTTCTCAGGGTATTCTTTTCGATGTTGTTCTATCCCCTGAAGCAACTATTGCTGTTGAACTAGGTTTCGGGTGGATCTCTTGGTAAGTCAGAAATTAGCTTCACCCCTCATTCAGGCATATCTTTGGCAGCCATCAAGGAAGCAACTCGCATTGAAATAATCCGTATCATTACTCCACTCATTTGCCCGTTTTTGCATGAAGGCGGTCGAAATTTCTAAATGGAATCAGCACTGTTAGAAATGACGTTTGACTTGAGAACCCAACTGAAACGGAGCCCACTTAAAGTTAGCCCAACAAGTGAAATCAGAATTTACCTGTGTCTGAGACGAAACTGCTGAAGACAGTTTTCGTTTTCTCCTGTTTTTTGGTTTTTGACGTACGACTACTTCTGTGTTTTCTTTATGCGGTGGCGAATGGCAGTTTAATATTTCAAACAAAAGCTTGATATAGAAATAATATAGCAGTTGGACTAATAGTTCAAACAATATCTCCTCACTAACAAATGAACAGACAAGTGGATATTAAATATTTACACTACAATAATTTTCGTTTGAAAAACTGCCACCACCCTCGCTCTCTAACTACGCTTATGGTATTGAGCAAATGTTTTTGAATAATTCATCTTAACATACCAAATCGATTAGATAAGAAATTTTGAAGTTATTTCAGTTTGGAATCTGAATCCTATTGGTACACCGGTAGTGTTGTTAGAAAAAGGGATTTTTTGTGTTTAATTCAAACCATAAATATTTGAAGTTATAACTTTTTTTAGATATGTACATTCTAGCATCGTACTTTCTTTGGCAAAGTTGTTAGGCACTTTCTGGACTATATTTGTACATACTTAGTTGCATGTGGTCTCCAGGGATAAAAATGCGTAAAAGTTGGTTTTCCCATACTAATTTCCATACAAATTTCAAACGCAATGCGGAAAGCCGAGTTACAACCAATCGTCTCCAAATTTTGCACAGTTGTTTGGGACTCCAAATGGATCCAAAAAAGGGTTGTTCTCGATTGGTGAGGTAAAGTTTGCGTTTTTCCATATAACGATGACCCACTAAAACCTTCATAGATGTCTCAGAAGGGAACATTTGTGTTAATAGGGAGTGGAATATATTTAGGAATCTCTATTCGGCAATATAAAGTAAATATTATGTGAAAATAGAAATACAATTAAATAAATACAAAAGGAAAGATCTCACCAAAATTATCTGCAAGAATCCTGTATTTCCATGTTTTCGAAGCTGAGATCTCCAGGTGATCATAGATCTCCAAAAAGTCCTCAAAATATTTATATCATTATCATATTATATCATTCTGAAGATCTTAAACTGCACAACAATTCAAATCATATCCCCAGATATCCTATAAAGATACCAGGTAGCTCAAAACATATTCAAGAGATCTCCAAGTCATTATAGAGGTCTGCAAAATATCCTCAATATATTGGCTCAAAATGGGTCAAATGCATCAATGGTTATTGCGTTTACCCTATGCTTCTTGTTTTTACTTACTCAAATCCAATACTACAGGAAACAAATTTCTCCGGATAATCAAGCCCTCGAATTACCGAACCCCCGGATAATCGAGTCTGACCTGTACCTTAATTTTACGGATGCAGTGAGCATGCTTAATACGCAACCTATTCCCTAGACTAACCTAGAAAACCGTAATATAACCATGAATATTGTATACACAGTTAACTCTCCATAACTAGATACTGAAGGATTCATCGAATTAGGAAGGATGCCGAATTACGGTGGTCGACGTAGCCTGGATTTCTATGGAGAAAATCTCGATAGGAGGGTTTCATCGAGTAAGGGAGAGTTGACTGTAGTAGATTACTTCTTCATCTTCTTCTTCGCATTTCAAGCTTATTGCTTATAGCATATAACCCTTATTACGTGCTCTCAGTTTAGTGTTCTAGATGCATTTCCACAGTTATTAATTGAGAGCATTCGATGCCTGTGTGATTTTTGCATTAGTATAATAGTGTGGCAAGTAAAATCATACTCTATGCCTAGGGAAATTGAGAAATTTACCAACTCGAAAAATTCCTAGACCGGACTGGGAATCGAACCCAGCGAACTCCAGCATGTTCATGCTTCGAGCTGTGCCTTTATCGACTGAGCTAAGGGAGGCCTCACAAGCTGTAGCAGATAAGGCAGTTTTAAAATAATTAAAATTAACAAATAAAAGATTCTATTAAAGTGCCTGAATTTAAAATTATAAAATCAAAGTTCGATCTCAATTATGACTTATATAACTCCAATAGTGACCAAGTATGTTTTCCTTATTAGGAAGACATTCAGCCTGGAGCTGGTTCACCTCCGAAATTTCCAATCTAAGAAAAGTTTCACCAGCTGGAGTGCGAACTAAACCCTTACTTCGATGAGCTCACAAGGGCCCTTATTACCGATGTCACTTCACCGTGAAGTGACACCTTATCACTCACGGTGAAATGATTCCCATTTGATTTACACGACAATCATTTCACCGTGAGTGACAACCGATCACTTCACTTCGTTTTCACCGTGAAGTGACACCCGTAATAAGGGCCAAGATGTCAGAAAGACAGATGACGCCGCCAAAAATGTACAGATCATAAATCAGAATTTATTATTCTAATGAGATTTTTCCTTCTATCGAACATGATCAGTTCTTTTCAATTTAACTATTCTCGATAATTATTAACACTTTGAATGGAGATGGAAAATATTTGTGAATAAGGCTTCAAAACTATGGTTTGAAATTAAAATTTTATAAATAATCATTCTTGAATTCTGGTGAATGTGGGCGGAATGTGGAATACCTGTACAAAGAATTAGAGAAGGATTAGTAATTTCCATTTAATTCTGCTACCTTATTTGCTTATCTTGTGTCTTGTTCTAATACGCGATGCAGTCTGCAACTTGTAGTCGAAATACGCGTATTTGTCAAGGATGATCAAATAAGGTAGTGGAATGAAATTGAAATTATCTCTTTCTTTTATTATTTTCGGTTTTATTGTCATCGCTAATGACATTTGGTGTGATATTTGGAAATTTTTCCCACATATAATTGTATTCTTTTAATCATGTGAAGTTCTTTCGGAATTAATCAGTATTCAGCGAAATGGCAGTTAAATATTCAGGAAAGCTAAACATGTTAAACATGACAAACGAAAAACCTAGGTTTAGAAATGCATATGTTCAAGTCTTCAAACGTGTTATAAATCGGTTTTTAGATTTGAAGAAATAATTCTCTTTATTTAACTCATATGCCCTGGCGGTTCATGATGCATACCCAAAGATTTTCAAAACTATACACCCTTGATATCTTCATCAAATCGAATTAGAACCATCTTCAAAGGCTCATATCACTTAACCTCACTTATTATGGCGTTGAAACTCCCAAAACTTCCTCTATAGCTATTCCGACATACTTTGCAACCAAGTAAAAAGTGCCTTTGACCTCATCTTGAATAATTTGATCAGTTCCCTGAATGTTAAACCATCCTCAAGCTTCTCGGGGAATCAACATTCTGGTGGATCCAGAATTTCTGTTGAAATAGTTACTTTACGAAGCAGAATCCCATACGATACGTTTTAAATCAATATGCTGCCGTTATACGCATAAGAGTCCCACGGTGCATAAGGATTGCATAGAACATGGGATAGTTATGCGTATAACGGCAGTATGGTACATGTATAAATTTGGTTAATCCCTTATGTGGCCACGAACTTCGCCAGGAGTGGGAATCTCACTCCGCGATATATGCCTAACCAACTGGTGATACCACTATGTGGGAGTGATCATGATATAGCCTGCATCAAAATGTTCAAAGCACGAGACGGAGTGCAATTATTTTAATTACTGCGACGAAATTACATCCACTGAGAAAAATGAACCGACATATTGAAATAATTAATTGTAAAATGTATTATACATTAAAAGCACTTCAGTATGTTGATTTGAGTAAGCTTAGGCTTTAAAATAAATTTCCAACCATTTTTTTTAATCACTAAAAAAGCCTTGTGAAATATGCTCCCATTTGATTAGCTTTTTCGAAGACATCAAAACAAGAAGACTGTCAGCTTTTCCAGAACCAAAGTAACGGATACCCTAGCGAAATGAGCAGACACACAACTCCATCTTCTAAGGTTGGAATCTTTGCTATCACATTCCTTCGGAGTCTTTACCTTTAAGCGGCAGTTGTGCCTGTCTCATAGCTTTTCTTTAAGAAAACGAGAGAGTGGCCAGTCCTCTTGTTATACTGCCTTCGTTTTCCCTAATTTACCCACCATTGGTATGTTCATTTAAACTAATTTTTACACGCCAAGCCGACGACCAATAACTGCATTTAAATAGAAACAAATATACAACGTACCTCATCCACATGTTTCCTCGACTCCTGCTCCAGCCGCACCATTTTGTCCATGGCCAGCTTCCGCTCGCGCTCGACCGTTTCGATCTTCTCCTTGCAATTCTTCTGCATCGACCGTATCTTCCACTCGCAGTCCTCCATGAGATGCTCCTCCCGATCGGTATTGACCGTACGAAGCTGCTCGAAGTCATTCTTCCACTTGGCGTCTACCTGGGCCCGTTCCTTCAGGGCCAGCTCGAGGGCCTCCGTGATGATCTTCTGTTCTTCTGCCCGTTCGTCGAGCAGTTTGTCCTTCTCCTTCCGCACCGTTTCCGCCACCGTTTGGGCGTCGATGAGCTGCATGTTCAACTCGTGAGCCAACTGGCGCACATCTTTCAACTTCTCGTTTAACTCTAAGTATTCTATCTCTAGATTTTGGTACTTAAGATTTAGCTCATCCTCCCGATCGGAGAATTTCAGTCTTAGGGCTTCCATCTCGGAATTCTGCGACTGCAGCCGGGCACGAATACTTTCGCATTCCTTGCATGCCGCTTCCAGTTCCCCTTTGAGACCTGTTGGACAAACGAGAATGATAAGAATGAAAGATGAATTTCGAAAGTTAAAACCTCACCACCAGGTTCATTTGAAACTTGATTTCCCATTGCTATGTCGCCTCCGTCTTTTTGTTTTGATCAATGTCACTGGTCTACTAGGCCCACTGCGATCGGCGTCATTTGCTTCCCAAGATGGGCGGATTGTTTGTTTGAAAACGAAAAGTGGAAACAAGCTGACAAGCTCGCGAAAAGTGGATCTTCCCACAAATCACGCCGTTTTGGCACTGACAAGAAGATTTTCCTTTGTTGAAAGCGAAAGTGTTCTTCCTTATTAGTGCTAATGGGCTATCCCTGGCCTTTCACCTCAATATACCGTTGCTGAATGTGTTGTTTGAACGACATGTAGGATGGTATGTATTTCAAATTTTAAACTTTCGTTCCTTCATATCTTAGCATACAAAAGGATGACATTTTTAAAACTTTCATTGCATTTTAAATTGAAAAGCCTGTTTTGAAAGATTGTTGAGCATAAGAAATATGCATTCATCAAATCCAAAGCAACGTCCCTTTACTGTACCAACAAAAAGAAAACTGCAATTGTTATTGTTGATAAAAATAATCATCCGCTTGAATTTTCCCCACCCCCTCATCCCATTGACGCCCGCCCCGGTGCAGGACAGACGGCACACTCATTGGGATTGCTTTTGTGAGCGTAGTGTAAGCATCATTTGAGAGGTTTTTAAAATAGCAAAAGTCGTAATAGATAAGTGCGATCTACTACCGGTTGGTCAGCTGAATTGTAGAACTGCAAAGACGCAGTACAGTAGGCGGCGAAACGATCGAAGGCGGCATGCGAACTCATTCTGCGCATATGATCAAGAATAAAGGTAAATGAATCAAAGCTACCCGGTGACGGACATGTTGTTTTAAATTACCACGGATAATGATATTGCGCCTTTTGCACCAAAGTAGACTCCTACGCAAAAAGTTATTTATAAAAAAAAACTAAAAATTAAGGATTGTCAAAGTTGTTTCACCACACTAGTATGTTGATTTAATACTCTATTGTAAAATGTAGCATTTTGTTACTCAAAATGGAAAATTTTAATTTTTTTCTGGAATTAGCGAATTTTTTTTGAGGGATTATTTTTAGCGCATTCACTCTACTTTGATACAAAATGTACAATACTTACAAAAAATAATTGTTTGCCGTTACGTTCAACAGTCGCAAATGGATCGCCGTTGTTTCGCGAATTTTGGTCCCTCGCCGGTCGTATAAATTGTTTATCTCTTGCGGATACGAACTGCGACGAGAGCAGACAAGGAAAAGTTAAATTTTCCTCGGAAAAATTTCACACTCATCCTTGGGTGCGACATTTTGCGTCATCCGGGACAGCTGCGCGCGTGTTGTTTATTGGTGCGTGTGGTTTTGTCGGCTTGGCTGAAAATTCCGAGACTGCAAATTTGACGCCGAAGACTTTCAGGTGAAACGCCCACATTGCGTTGGTCAATTTCAGTAAGGAAATTCAGAATGGAAAGTTTCAAAACATCCGGCAGGTGACATGATTGAATCATAGACAGAGAAGTATTTTCAAGGTGATCAAGATTTTACTTACGGTCAACGCTGCATTCTTTCATCGAAACCTCTCGTTCCACCTCTTCCAGCCGCAGTTGCAGCTCATACACTTTGGTCTGAGCTTCGCTGGCCCGTTTGTCGGCATCCTCGAGCTTGACGCTGTAGCGGGATTCCTGGTTTACCAGCTCCTTCCTGGTGATGGGAAAGTTCAAGGAAAACAAGATGTACATCAAATCCAGAAAATTTAGTAAAAATATTAAATACATAAAACATGTGGACACTTAATAAGACTATCACTCCACTTCTCCGAGGGAGCTCGGAATATATCCAGATCTAGCCAATGTGGTTCAGGACCCTCAATACATCTACCAATGGGGACGTTTCTGGCACGTTTCAGATCGGTTCTAGTCTCACGGCAGAAGTGGTAACGAAAAAATGTCGTTATGAAAATGTCTATGACATTTACCAGCTCTCCTCATGGCCGGTACTCAACGGAACATGTTCCGGCAATATGTTCGGAACCAGTGAACTGATTCCAAAAATATTCAATAGCGTTCAATGAGGGGGAGAGAGAGGGGGTCTACTGGGATTTTTTTTAAATTCATTCAGTATTATTCTTCTTCTGTAAAAGTATGAACTTCTTAAGTTCTGAAAATATCTTTGAGATGTATGGCGGAATACCAAAATCACCATATCGAGAAAATCGCTTCTAAATTTTGATGACCTAAAAATTAATCCTATTTCACGCCTTTCCATTTCTGGGTGATTTCAATAGCTTGACATATGATTAATAGAGAAGTCTATCATCATGCATTACTAAAAACTCTAAAAAAGGTTTTTTTTTGCCGTGAATTGAGAAGAAAACATGATAATTTTTTACATGTTGATACCCCCGGATTTTTCACCCTTTGAACTGCCAACACTGGTGATACGCCGTGGCAATATAGTCCTCTCCAGGCGGGTCCGTATTGGTGCGATTTGTGTGTGTTAGTGAGATGAAATTTTTTGTTAGCTGAGAGAAATTTTTTGTTTGCTGTAAGAACTGTCATTCTAAAGTAAAAATAAACAACAAAACGAAAACAAACTCTACGCTTGCACGGTAACAGTCAAATACCCTTTTATGAGTGAAAGTTAACCCATTTTTAATAAAAGTGGCTTTACTCATTAATGAGTAAATTATTTTAACAACAACGAGTTTCTGCTAACAGTAGCTAACAGTTACTACTTAATTGGTACAATAAGTTACTCATTAATAAGTAGTGCCACTTTTATTGACAATGGGTTCACTTTTACTCATAAATGGATGTTTGATTCTAACCGTGCACATGACAGTATACGCTAGTGTGTGTAAAATAATATTATAAGTGTAGTGTTCGTGAGATCCTGCTTGGAGAACTCAATACCCTCGTGATTTTTGTTTGTTGTTCCACCTTGGTTCTTCGTTCGCAAATTTTATGAGAGTGGAATTACGCCCGGAGATTTTTTTGGTCTTCTTTTTGTTCGTTGTTTACACGTGAAATATCAATCGGATGCATTTCAAATTATTCGGGCGTGACTAGATAGGGGAAAAGTTGGCTTCGGCAATACCTTAACCTATTATCGTCAGGGGGTAAACAAAGTCCTAGAGCACTCAAATTTGGCCAATAGTTGCTCTGAAACACAATGTATCCACATGCCAAAATTGAGTTCTCAAGGACGTTGTTTACCCCCCTGACGATAATAGGTTGAGGTATTGCCGAAGCTAACTTTTCCCCTAGGTACTAAAAAATCAACCAGATACATCATAGAGTTGAAAATTGGAAATACGCCATGTAAACGGAAACGTTTTTGATGATTTGCAATGATATTTTCTTCTACTTTTTTGTGTTTATCGAGTAGATTGTGAACTGTTGTCTCTATATATGGCTTGTTTACATTCTGGCTCTTCCGCCCCTTTCAAATGTTATTCTAGAATTTCAACGAATTCTGAAAAATAATCCAAGATTTTTAGACAGAACTCGGTCGAATACATGTCGGCCTAAGATCGATTAAATTAAAACCTTTCAACTTCATTTTTGCAAGTGAACCAGAATTTCTTCATCCGAGTATCAGGAACAAGAAAACTCTCTTAGTCTCAGATAAATATTTCAATGCCCGGAAACTAAAACCAGCTAAACATTAAAATCTTGAATTTCTGGCAAAGTTTTGAAAGTTTATATTTTATTTCAAATCCCAAATTGTTTTTTAAGTTAACAGTTTACCTTCACACACAATGGGTAGTATGAATAAAAGTAAACTTTATTTTCCCCATAAAAAAAGCACGGGAGAGTGTACTTTACTCTCTTACTTCAAGCCATAAGAATTGCGTTGAGGTTCGTTACTTCATGCTTAAGATTCTATTACAGACTTGCGTAAATAGCATGCAGAATTTGTTATGTTTCTCCGCATGAACAGATTCTGTAATGTGGTCACCAGAAGAATTTTTAAATAAATTAGATTTTTATGTTAGCGTAGCCATTCCGTCGCACAGTGAGACGAAATCAAAAAAAGAAGAACATGGCCATTTGCGACGAAACTATTGAGTGTAGCATTTTGATGTCTTCTAGAATGTATCTTCAATTTTTAAATACTTTATTGCATTGGTGTATTGTTTTGCTTAAAGGGGTTATACACTAAGATAGAAAATAACTTTTTTTATGTCTTGTTAAAATTGATGATCATCTATGGAAACATTGTAGATGAAGTCATTCTAAGAAACTTTGTCAAAGACGTCAATTTTCCATCTCTCATGATCATGAAAACAGCAACACGTAACAAAACATTGTGGAACTTTATTAGAAAATTCATTAGGTATCCCCTTCGATCCCTCTATGAATTGTATATGTAACAGTAGGCTATAAGTTGCTGAAAGAAATTACGTTGAGTTTTGCTGCTAATACCTGCTAACGTGCAAGATACACCCCTTTGAAGTTAGCGTTGTAAATACTTTACTAAAAAAATGTGGATGTTTTAGAGCACTTTAAACTTTGTAGAACATTGAAAAAATTTAAAAATTCAAACTAAAAAGTTATGGAAAAAACGGTTTTTAAGGGGGTACTACCGTTTGTACTTCATTTTCACCCAATAACTTCGCCCACTTGAGAGATAGAAAATTGACGTCTTAAACAAAGTTTCTTAAAATGACTTCATCTACAATGTTTCCATAGATGATCATCAATTTCAACAAGGCATAAAAAGTTATATATTTTATCTTAGTGTATACTCCTCTTAATCAAAAATGTTCACTGCTCAAGTAAAGTACTCAAAAAATGAAGAAACATTTTAAAAGACATCAAAATGCTCAATAGTTTTCGTGGCAAATAGCATAGCCATGTCCCACTATTTTTGATTTCGTCCCACTGTGCGTCGTGACCATATTACAGTTGCTATAAATCGATGGAGACGCATGGCTAAAGGTATTGGAATGTTCCACAAAAAATATGAAATGACCCAATAAAACATACGAAATGTGCCAATAAAAAAGATGTTATGTTCTTTCAGGTTGAAAATCTTCTCAACGTTCCTGTGCTTGCCACTCGCACCAAAATTAAATGTATTGCATTGGTTGGAAAGTCCTCAACTATAAACTATGGAAGTGCTTAAAATTACTAAGGTGAGAGTTATATAAATACCAAAATACTTTTTTGACCTAGGACTACGTCTGTGATTTCTATCTAGAGGTACATTTTTGTGAAAACCAAAAATGGAACATGTAACGAAATTATGAAAGATTTTGAACGTTAATAACTCGGCTGCCACTAAACCAATTTCAATAACTTTATCACCAATCGATCAGAAATATGGCGATGCATCGATAACAATACCAACTGTTGATTTTCAACAAGAAACTATTGAAAAAGTGGTAAATGTCAAGCATTGTCCAAAATCGTCGAAGTGACTAAACAATCCAGCAATTACGTACATGCATATGCTGCTTTCCCAACACATTCATCAGAGAATCGTTTCTAGACGAAACGTTATTCGTAAAGCTATTCGATTAAATATTTATGGAATTTTTCAATTATTCGAGCGCGTAACCGACATCATTTTTTAATTCTACTCGTTTGATTTAGCGCAGTAGAGAAAATAAATAAAAGTACCAATTTATCTGAACAGGCATAGAGAAGCAACAGGATCATAAATTCACCGAAAAAAGTGTTAAATGCTTTCTGCTAAAGGCCAAGATTGACCAACTCGTTGAGAGAAGAAGTTTAACGAGAAAAACTAAAAAGGGGAGGAGCTTTAGCTAGGTGGACACTGGTATTCTGCAGCCTTCCAACCTGTCGCAGACACCAGTTTTTTCTGGTGGCCCGTAATTTATTTATACGTTTACATCAACAGGTTGAGTGTAGCCTCGATGATGTTTAAGTGAATAACATTAAAATACATAGTCCAGCTTACTAAAATACACAATACAATAAAATACATGGTCATTCAACGGTTTACTGCATCAGAGAAAATACGGGAAAAGCACCGGCGTAGCACCTCTCGTGTCAGGTTGAAATCGAACACTGTAAGAAACTCTATTGAACACACGTTGAAGGCCGTCTATAGCACCATTCATGCTATAGTTAGTGCGATGCTGATGCAATCTTAACATAGCGTTGTTTCGCAGCGTTCGGGGTTGGACATTCACGTTGATTTTCTCCAGGATTGTAGAACAATCAATTCTACCCTGTAAACTATCCGCGATGAGTAGGGCTCGCGAAGTGTCTCTCCGAGAACGTAGAAGCTCCAGATCAATCAGTTGACATCGACTTTCATAACTGGGTAGACAAAAAGGGTCCTCAGAACAAATCGAAGCACCATTGTTATAGCTTGGGTTCCATACTGCAGAACAATATTCCAGGGTGGACCGCACCAGGGAACAGTACAGCGATTTGAGACAATATATATATCGGAAAAATTCTTTGCAATCCTGAAAATTAATCCCAAAGATCTTGACCCCTTTGTCGACAATGAACGAGATGTGTTGCTTATACGTTAATTGGGAATCCAGGATAACTCGCAGGTCTTTTACGTGGGTGACGTCACGGCTGATAGTTGTTTCCTGAAGTACATAATTGAACATAATCGGTTCCTTCTTGCGAGAGAAGGTGATAACTGAACACTTCGCGGGGTTGACCTCCATTCGGTTCAAGTTGCACCAGTTCGCAAACGCTTCGAGCTGGCATTGGAGGAAGTGACAGTCATCGATAGATTTTAAGATCATCTGCATACGATAGACGAGGGCCTTCGAGGACCAGATTGACTTCGTTAAAGTACAGCAGGAAAATCAACGGGCTTAGGTGACTTCCTTGAGGTATCCCTGACGTGGCTGGGTAAGTAGCAGACTGACATTCACCAACGGTTACCATCAGTTGGCGATCACTGAGATAAGAGCGAAACCATTGCAGGAGGTTGCCATTTACCCCGAGTCTATCTAACTTAGCAATCGCAATTGCATGGTTCAGTTTATCGAATGCAGCCGACAAGTCGGTGTAAATTACGTCTGTTTGAGCCCGTTCTGTCATGCTGTCCCGTGACATACGATGTCAGACAAAGTAGATTAGTGGTAGTAGAACGACCGGAAACGAAGTCGTGTTGATCACTACTTAGATACTGCTTACAATGAGAGAGCAGGGGCTCCATGATTACTAACTCGAATAACTTCGAAACTGAGCTCAATGATGTGATTCCACGGTAATTATCCACGTCCCGTTTGTTTCCCTTTTTGTGAACAGGAAACATATGTGCAAATTTCCAACAAGATGGAAATATACCACTCGAGATGAACATGCGGAATAGATGCTGCAACGGTGTAAGCAAGCTGCTGATATGCTTCTTCAGAAATACTGATGGGACACCATCGGGTCCTGTGTTGAAGGACGACTTAAGTTGTTGTGCGGCAGTGGAAATCATCTCGACGTCGATGTAAATTGCACCCAACGCTTGACCGGAGAGTGGTTCATTACTAGCTGCTAGGGTAACGTGGTCGTCGGTTAATATCTCATCAGCAGTTCAACCCCTGTCCAGCAGCAGACGGGCCGCGACTTTTGGGATTGTCCGGTCCTATTTGCTGATCCAGCTGCCTACATGTCATCATCATCTCCCAGAGGCTTTAAGTCTGTACTTCCATCGGCCCTCTTTAGGGCCACCAAACTTTTCCAAAAGAGTTAAATTTCTGAATATGTCCCAACTAAAATTCATATCAAAAGGTTCTTTTCAGGGCAATCATAGTCATACTAATAAGAGTATAAACAGAAAGAACCCCGCTCAAATTCCTATTCTTAGGAAACACAAGCTCCTGCTGCAGTTAACAATTTAAATTTATTATATAAGACCACGTAGTCCTACGTCACCATTGCGTACAACCCCATAAGGCTGTCCGTAGTTGTTTTTTTTATTATTTAAAGCCATTCACTGTTGCTTCAACAATCAAATAGCGAAAAATAAATTTTTGAATCGACCTTCTCCGATGTTTATGAAACTTTGCGTAATTGATTTTTATGGGAAATGATTCATATTTTTTTTTTCAAAAATTTGCTCATTTTGGATCTTGTAAAATTTTCAATATGGCATCATTGAAATTAAAAAAAAATGTAACGCGTTTCTAACCAAACCCTTATGTCCATTATATTTCTCTACAACTTTGTCTCAGACGTTATTTCGAACAAAAATGCCACTTCCGTGCTAAACATTTTTGACTTATTTCAAAATTTTAAAAGGTCCAATGTGGCGGAATTTTAGCAAAAATGCTAATCACTGCCCATACAAACAATTCTGCAAATTTTCATGCAAATCGAAGAAGGTGAGATTATTCAACTAGTTATTTGGTGTGGAAGTGCTCCATTGAAGAAAATTGTTATTTAAATTATTCACCCCATATGATGATAAATGCAAAAATAGTTACAGTTGATATAGTTTTTAATTCTAAAAAAAACTCGCAAATCTTTCCAAATGGAAACCAATTCATTTTATTCAATCAACGCAGCAACAGAAAACGATAAATCAATCAACTTTTTTTTTCAAATCACAGCCAACTGTGCCACTATTTACATTTTTCTAAGAATAAATCAAACCATCGATCCCATGTGGCCTTTTTCCATTCACGGTTTCTTCTCGAGTCGCTGAAAAATCCCAAAACATTCTGTTATATTATACCGTGCCGTGCCTCGATGCCAAAATAATAATAATCAGGTTAGATGGTAAACCGTATAACCCAAACATTGAATTTTTCAACAACGCGTGTGCATCAATGAGTGATTCACTACTCGGCAAATGCGGTGCTTCCCACAATCGCCTCCGCTGTTCGAAATTGGATTATTTTAAAATTAATCGAATGTATATCATACCTCACCGTGTAGACAGTTTGTCTCTTGTCACAAGAGAAAATAAAACGAGCTGACGCGAGAGTCTTGCACACTTCAAGAAATGCTTGTGAGTCGAAGCAGAACGGGAATGAAAAACTAGCATATGTTCAGAATAATGGGCTACAACGTGGGGATGATGTAATAAATGGGACAAACTGTGATTTGTGTAACCGCTTTGAAAAGCAGTTTACTTTGTAGCTTCTTTAGCGGTAGGCGGAGTTAAGTTATTTCCGGTTAGTTTTTTGGTCAACATTGAACAACTTTAGGCAAATTTTGTATCCAGTTCCTAACCACCCACAACCGCCTACTTCATCGCTTTGAAACATGAATGAACCATTCACAAATCACCGTGCGTTTCCATTTGCCCAGCCCACGCACCATCCCGTTACACATAGTAGGCAGGGTTAAGCACTATTTCCGTTCAACTTCGACGCAAGGTATTATGACAAGCTCGGACGTTTGCGAGATTGACGCATAGTGATAGATGCGTCTTTCTTCATCACATTTGTTCGTCTACGTGGGATATAAAAGTTTCTCATAGAGTGGAAAATAAATCCAGGTCATTGAACAACGTGTCATTGGTTAGTATAGTTCTAGTAACAGTTAGGACAAAGGCAAGGATATTTACATTTCACTGTTGATTTTATCAACTGTGTTGAAGGGCTGCTTGGTTGCCTTCTCGATGTTGGTCGGCTGCACCACATCCGGAAGGCTGTTGATCTCGTCCATGATCAAGTCGGTGCCATTTTCAATCATAGCGGTCGTCAACTCCTTATCACCATTGATCACAGTAAGCTGCGACTTTTCTTTTTCTTCTTCCAGGTGGCCATTTGGTTGAGCACTTGGTTCACTGTGATCATAACGGAATTCGATTAGATTCGGTTTGGACATGATCATTGGAACACTGGGAGAAATGCCACTTTTATCACTAATAAATGCACTTTGTTCAACGCTGTTACCGACACTGAGCACTTCGTTTGAACTGTTGTTAAACACAAGTGATTCGTATGAGGAGGATTTTGCATGCACTTGCTCTTCATTATTTTTTGCGACATGCTCATAACGCGGTGGTTCTAAATTTAACGCATTCGGGAGTGACTCGGTACTTGCACTGCTAACACTGTCGCTGCGTGAATCGGGCTCCTGAGATGGGTTTCCATCTATGATGAGCTGATCACTAAACACTACTCGTTTTTTCGGGCTAACTCGCGGCTCGCCTGGATGAGCGGAAATGATAGCTTTTGGTGGTGGTGATTTTTCTTGCGCTGCTGGCTTGATGATGATCGCGGAGCATGGTACGGCCGGGTCACTTTTGTCCAGGGAGGAGGGGTTAAATACGGCGGATAAGGATTCCGTCGCTTCATAGAAGACATCTCGATCGTCGCTAATATCGTCCCGAGAAGCATCTTGTTTCACTTGCACTGCTAGTAATTGCCGTTGCGGAGACTCAGAAATTGTGCTGGACAATTGACGATTTGGCGTGAGCGATCGCCTGTTATTGCTTGCGGGTTCACTGGGTTTACTTGGCTGTTGGCCCATTTCCGTGTCCGATGTTCCGTCTTTGCTAGTTACAGTTTCACTACCGTTGATCGTGTCGCGCAAACCATCTTTAATCTCGTGAGAGATAGTAATGGCAGATGAATGAAGTTCTGTCGCAGGACACTGAGAAGGCACTGAGTCGTTATTGATGCTCTTTAATAATTCATTAACGCCGGCATCGCCGACGACAGTGGTAAGATCGTTTTGCACTGTCTGTGTTAACGGAAACGGCGACGTCACGGATGTAATGACAGTCGTATCCTCCGCCGTTACACTCACACCGTCGTCGGGACGACGAGAATGATCGTGCTGCTGATCTCCGTACGAAGGCTTGTTGGTATCCGAGCGCACCACGATGCTATTTTTATCCTCGTGAACTTCGACGTTGTTTCCATTGACGTCACCGGCCGTGAGACACGGTCGTTGCTCAGAATCAGTATCTTTGCTAACGATTTTCACTTTGTGCTCTTCGTTCGAAATATGTTCACTATGATTAACTTCGCCATTAATTTCTTGTACTTTAGTCACATTCTCAGCAGGCTGCGTCACTTTTTCCACGGTTACTGTGTTTTGTTTTTCGCATATGCCATCGGTTTGTGTCTTCAGCAGGTGGTTATCTTTGTTGGGATGTTGATTTTGACCCGCCTGTTTCTGGCCTTGCTGATTCTGCAAATTTTTGCCATTCTGTTGCTGCTGCTGCTGATAGCGTCGTTTGTTTTTACCTTTTGCCATGGTACTTTCGAACAGGTTCGCGTTTTGATTGTAACTAGCTGATTGCTCTGAATTCGGGTCGTTCGTCTCCCCCCGTATTTGAAGTGGTAGCAATTTGAGATCCTCTCGCTGCTCGCACTCATTGATCGCGTCCTCGTCGTCAGTTTCAACGGCGTCTGCGAACTCGATCACGCTGCCCGTGCCGTCCTCGAAGTCAAACGAACGACCGTTCTCACGGATTATATCATTCGGACTGAAGCGAGCTGCCGTTGGCGGCGGATGCTGCTTATTTTTAACACTTTCGCCCTCTCCACCGCTTCCGCTGTTTTCGGCAGTAGGTCTTACCTTAGCATCAACACGATTACCAGCGCCTTCTTCTTGATCGAGAAGTCGCATCGGTGTAGCTATGGGTGACGTCGGTTGCGTCTCCAAGGCATTCGCAACGCACGCGCTCGGCATGGCAACCTTCGATGCACTTGCATCGTGTTTTTGTTTTGATTTTTGATTCTTTGAGCGCTTGAAGAAGCTAAACATTTTAATTGCTTGTTTTGATGTTGGTTGGCAAAATTTGCGACACAATTTTTTTGTCCTTTCACTTCGTACGCGCTCTTCTAGAAAATCGTCATATCGATCCACACCAACCGACCTCCACCAGCACACTGTTGCTCGATTATTCTCGAGGGCAGATTTGTCACTTCAAGTCAGTCTCCCAGTTTCCGTCCGAAAACATTCATAAATCTGCGATGTTGAAAGGCATATTATGTTGCAACGTTGCTGTCATTTTGTTTGACTTTAACACAAACAAAGTGATGTATCTTTCCGGATAATTGGTCACTATGACAACCTAAATTTTGACATATTCTTTCTTTAAGTGGGATTCAGTTAAATAACAGCATGTAATTGTTTTCCTATTTATGAATGACCATGCGTCTCCATCATGCGGTGCGGTTACCCAATGAGTACGAAAACCATGCTGCATTGTATGGATTGAGTAATTGCTGTCTAGTGGACAGAGCTGCTGATGGAAGTGAGATCCTATAAATAACATTCGCACCGGGGCGACTCGTCAATAAGTTACTTAACAATGGCCTATGCTAAGCGCCAAGTTGGCGTGGCAAAGTTGGCTGTTAACTCATATATGACTACTTTGATGAGCTGAGAAGAGACCAAACGGCTAAGAAAATCTAAAGTATGTGTAAATAGCCCCCGCTTGCTCGTTGGAACGGATAACCTTAGCGACCCTCATAGATCAGCCAGAGAAAAGTAAGCGTAAAAGAAGAGAAATCAATTATCTATCTACGAGAAAATTCATCCTCAAGCGACCGTGCATGTGTGCTGCGCTCGGCCTAATGGAAATTTACGAACGAGACCTAAACGTATTGGCTGTGAGATGCTCATTTCAACGAGAAATAGAGAAAATGAATGAATTGAGACGTAAACGACTTTCGACTCCGCGAAGCGAAGAAATAACTTCATAAATCAAGCTGCGTTTCCCAAGAGAGGAAAATTTCCGTTCTACCGGTTGCTGCGCCAATCGCAGCAAGCGTTGAGTTTTTTAATTTAAGCGACCTTGGTCCAATTCATTCATTACTAATCTCTATTTTGTAACTTCTCAAGTTTCGACAAGGTTAATAAAAATCACATTTTTCCTTGCTACCGAATCGTATGTTGACGATGAACAGATACCATTCATCAGACCCGGCCCCGCCATTGGCAGTCGAGTGAGCACTAGTGGCTAAGGCCTCTTTCAGGTCTGCTTACGAGGGAAATTAGCGTTGCTTTGTTTAGGTGAGTCTCAAGATCCGTGAAACAGAATACAAACAGTACAATTCGTTGTTCTCACTTTTCAGTGAATAAATCAGTCAAAGTCATGGACCAACTTTCGTTAAAGGCCTCCTCGCATCACTAAATGACGTATGATTTTATGGCGTTTGTCGATCAAAGCAACCCGGAACCATGGTCAACCATTACGAATCTAGCGGATGATGTCAATTGCCAAACAGCGGAAGCATAAAATCAATCCGCAAACGTGTGACCTGTGTGTGTTGAACTTGATGTTTGTTTACTTTCTGTAAAATACTAACATTTGTTCGCTACTGTGCGGTATTTTCTATTTTCAAAATCGAACTGAATGAATGGTCGCAATTTCTATTCATAGCTACAACTAAGTCATTCGTCAATCGTGTAACGATCCTCTGCAAATTCATCAATTGCTTCCGGAATTGCATTGTTGTAGTTTGTGTACGTCACTAAGTATCGACTTTTCGATCACTTACAAATAATCATAGTTTGTAGAAAATTACCCCTCGTCCGTTTGATTTTTTTTTCGAAAGATTGAAAAGCGACAAGCTGTCGAACACACTTGAAACGAACGTCACACACTGAATCGGGTTTATTTTGGATGAACAGATCGAGCTAAAGCAACTCTGAAGTTGTCTGTCGGCAGTAAAACAAACATCATTCTGAATGACTAAAACGGGCGCGATTTAATTAAACAGAAGTCTCATTCGAATCGATAAACCACATATCGAATGGGCATAAATGTAATTTTCAGTTTTAAACAAGCCAATTTCCATTTCTAATTCACAAGCAAACAAGTTTATGGGCTGCACAGTAAACAAACGCAGATGGCCACGAGTTTGCCAAGTTCATGGCTCACTTCGATCGTGGAGGTCGGTCAGTGGTGTTTGCTGAATGAAAATTTTCAAATGTTTATGAGAAAACATCACGTCTCTGTGGGTCATTTTTCGCTGTCGGTTGACTGGCATAAATGATAATTGATTGGGATCGCAAACAATCTGCTGGTGTCATTTTTGGGGACATTGTACGAATAATTGAATAACATTGAGGAGGAAAAATGTCTGTTACGTTCGTTGATGTGCAGACGCCGGGTTTTTCGTCAATTGAGCAATATCAATGTTATGTGTAGGGTAAGTGTGACAGCTTTGACACTACTGTTTCTGTTTCTGATAATAATGTGAAATTTATGATAGGGCCAACTAGGACCAAAAACTGACAGGTGAATCCAATTATGATAATGTAAATAAATATGTAAGTAAATATTATGCATGTGGGATGAAAAACACTCCACTCACCGTGGGGACTTAAGTCATGCTATAAGTTAATTTGATGTATGTATTTACATCAATTTGAAATTAAAAAAAAACTTATTTTTCAAGTTGTGAAGACTAAGGGGCTTTTAAAGTAAAAATGAATCACTTATGTGTATCAGTTATCACACTTATAATTGGCTCCAGTTTTGGCATGAACCAGTCAATGATTTAAACTGGTAGAGCCAAAAACTGAACATCGACATCATGGCACGGAAGTTTGAGACAATGGCGGAAACGCAAATCAGACTGAAGACTGAAGCTAGCCAGATTTCGAAGACAAAATACATTATAGGAAGAGCTTCTAGGGAAGACAATGTTAGTCTCCCACCCCGAGTTCAGATTGACGGTGACGAAATCGAGGTGGTCGATGAGTTCGTGTATTTAGGCTCACTGGTGACCGCCGAAAATGATACCAGCAGAGAAATTCAAAGACGCATTATGCCAGGGAATCGTGCCTACTCCGGAGGACGCTCCGGTCGAATAAAATTCGAAGCTTCACGAAGTTGACTATCTACAAGACGCTGATTAGACCGGTGGTCCCCTACGGGCACGAGACCTGGACTATGATTGTGGAGGACCAACGCGCCCTTGGTGGTTTCGAATCGAAGGTGTTGCGTACCATCTACGGTGGAGTGCAGGTGGATGACGGAACGTGGAGGAGGCGAATGAACTACGAATTACACCAGCTGCTGGTAGAACCATCCATTGTCCACATTGCAAAAATTGGATAAGAATGCCGCACGACGACCCAGTGAAAATGATCCCGAAAGTGACCCAAGAAGAAGAGGCGCGCTGTGGGCAAAGTGGATCGACCTGCTGACCCTTCGCAGACTACGAGGCTGGCGAAGTGTGACCATGGATCGAGTAGAGTGGAGACGACTTCTTTGGACAGCAGAGGACAACAAGGCCTTAGCCTGGTTGGTAAGGTAAGTAAGCCAAAAACTGGTACCATTGCGTATAAATGATTGTGCCATAACTGACTCACTTACCCTACTCTGGAAATTATTATTAGTTCAATTTTAACCTTTTAAGACCTTGTAGCTATGAGAGAAAAATGTATGTAACTAATATCTGCATTTAACGTCTTCTCTGCCAACAGGTTATTGATTTTTATTGTTCATCCGCAATTACGTAACTAAAAGGTTTACACCAAACTTGTGTTTCAAAATTCCCGAAACTAAACTACATTTAGTCACTGAAGTCAATTTTATTCCACTTTTGCCTACCTATAATAAAATGAATTACCTAACTAACAACCATATCTATCAACATTTGAAATATTAGTAACAAATATCTCAACTGTGGTTCACTGTTTGGCTTCCCGTTAATCCCCGATTTTGGTTGAAGCAGGCTACAAAACTGCTTCATTAGTCATCGTCTTGACTACGGCCCCCTTTTGCTACAGAAGACAGCGAAACGACAAACATCGACCAATAAAGTCTGCACAGAGTCACCAACTGACAGATTACCCGCCTCCGTAAAAAATCGTTGATTTACCTCTGTTCGTTTAATATTTAAGCACACATAGCCGACGAAAAGAATCACACACTCATATACAGACTATTAATACAACCGCAATGGAGACGAATGGTACATTGTAAAAATAGCTTCCCCAAAAATTGCATCTTGGATGCATGCCAAATAGGTGAGAAAAGCGAAAAAACCAGCAACGTCACTCTTGGGTGCTCTAGCTAGCTCGACCGGCTAGAGGATTTCTCTGTAGAAACACTTCACTCTTTGCACTTTCTCAGAATAAAGAAATCCTACAATTTTCGTGGGCGATCTTTGAACTTCCTTATTCAGATCACCGAAAATCAGCTGTCATAAGATAACTTCTGCTCAAAAACTAACAGCAAACTATGGGGAACACTTTGGAATTAACTTCTCACAACCAAGAGCACCGTTTCACTCGTCGAGCAGCTTAAGCCGGGGAGGTTACTTAAGTTCCTCTCGTGGAGGCTAATTGTCGCGAACTGTGGAACGAGTCGGATGCGACTAAGCCGCCCGGTTCAATTCAGTGGGTGCGTAAAGTGAGGGCCATCCCTCTGGAACAGTGCGGAAAATTCGCCATCATCGGCAAACGCAACCGGCGGCTCCCGATTTCTTCCCATCCCAACCTACACCATAAGACAACCATCATCGTCGGCGTCGGTCGGCGTCGGGAGATGTACAAATGCGAAACTTGTACTGCCAGCAGCGCTGTGGATCGTTACCCGGCAGATTTACTGTCAGATGCGAATGTTTGGATACGTCGATTTGTTTTTATTTTAATCGTCGTCTGTGAGCGGATCCGTTCTAACCCGATGACGTTCAATCGTCGTTGGTTGTCTGTTTTCATGCGGCCGCTCTGGCAGTAGTAGGCTAATCTTCGAAGAGCACCCATTTCGGACTATCCAGAGTGTTTTTGCTCTTGAAACTGGAAGGGTTGAAGTCAAGCTGCTTAGTTAAATGTGAAGTTTATTCAATTGAAATAAGCTAAAGCACTAGAATATTAATTTAATTTAGAACATTAATTTAGAACAATCTTGTTATTAGGAGGAACTGTATGTCATGCCTCGTAACGTGGGTAGATCACCTTTTCGTGGTACGTTACGGGATGTAAGATCTACCACCGATTCCTAGTCCTGACTACTTCAAACTAGGGGAACAGGATTTTTCAGTAATCCAAGGAACACATCTTAGTCCTTGTTACTTTTTATGCCTTGTT